ATTTTTCAATCAATTGGAGATTTTTTTTTTGAATAATCTGTGATTTTTCAATTTGAAATCCTCAATCAGTTGCTAATGATGATCCACAAATAGCATTGACAAAATTTCCATCAATGTGCAAACAATTTCAATGGCTTAATCGATGAATTGTATTCTATAGAAAAATTAAAAAAGTTAAATAAGTAAAAGATATAAAATGTTGCTCTAGTAGGCTTCAAACCTTCACCAATCACCTACCTACATAAAGAGAGTTAGATAAGTACACAAATACCCCTTGCCTAGTGACATCATAAGGACATTTCCTTCTTATAATAAAAGGGTGTTTTAGGTATAAAATATTAAATAGAAGTGATAGCGAGTAGTGGTGTGGGTTTAGTTTCACATCAACTATTTCCTAATATTTGAGACACATATATGTCTTTACCTTGTCTTGTCATCAATGTACTTGCTCTCACATATACACGTGTGTATAATCATTCCTTGCCCCATGCCCAGCTGGCCACTAGTTATATGGAAGGAGAGTGACTCACACATTCTCTAACTAATTCTTAGCCACTTGAGCCCCTAGCTCATGGCTCCCTTGAGTGTCCCATTGATTGACCCGAATAGCTAGTGGATCCCCTAGTTGTGCCTCTGATCCACGTGCAGGCTTGGCTAGTCAAAGGGTTCCTCCTTTTTCTATATATTTTTTTCTTTTTTTCTTTTTTATATTTATCTCAAAAATATGATTATAAAAATTATATAAATTTACATTAATAAACTAAAAACCTATTTTCTCAATTTAACATAAATATAAGTATATTAATCATAAGTTCAAGTTTAAAATATATTATTAATTAAGTATTAACTCATGATAATAAAGATTTATTAGAGACCATAGTTAACTAAACGCAACCTTAATCTTCAAAAATGGGTGCAACTTTTTGGTGTGACAAGAGTTAAACATTGCAATTGATTTACTTTTATGGATTCACAAAAGAACTATTTTACTATCATACTTCTCAATGGTTTTGGATTTTATTGAACTCAGATGATGTCTATTAAAGTTTACTACAATCATTAGATGAGAGTTATCATTGGGACACCAATTATGTTTATCTAAATTTCTTTTCTTTGATGTGTTTATTTTTTTCAAGACAAAAAGAATAGATTATTTAATGATCAAAAATTTGGATTAGAAATAAATTACTAATAATTTTAAGAATGATAAAATGAAATCAAAATGGAATGCAAAAATTTGGTTTAGAGATACATCACTTTGCTTGTCTAACACTTGAAAATAGAGTATGAGAAAATTAATGCAAATTGATTGAAAGGGAATAAGAAAATGAATTCAAAGGCTACCACTGAGATGATGGATTAAGTGAAACGAAAATAAAATTCAGTCAAAGTGAAAATCAAATTTGTAAACACCTACTAAGGTTCTACTTGTCTCTAATTGTCACCTAGAGAGAACTCATAGAAAAAGCTTAAAAATTCCCTGACTTTCATGCTACTCTCCAACTCAAAACTTTATTTTCTTGGAGCTTCCTTTAAATATTTTTTCCGAAAATCTAAACAATCCCTGCCAAACAAGGAATTCTTGACTATTTATTTCATTGTCCAAAACAAAGCACTGCTCTTGACATATACATGGACAACATGAGATATAATGTTTGCCTCTTCGTTCATTAACTTATGCTGAAATGGCCAAAATAATACTAATGTGGCAATGAATACATGCATTTTTTGCCGATGTTTTGATAATTTCCAAATTATTAAAATTTACCACAAAATTGCTTGATAAATTCCCTCAAAAATCTAAGAAAAATATTTTTCTAAATTTGAACTTCACGATTAATTTTCTCTCAATTGTAAAATAATTTTCAAGATTATAAGCTTTAAGAAATCATGTTAGTAAATAGATTAATAGTTAGAAATATCTTCATATTGCATAAATCATTAATACTTACCAAATTAAACATAAATTCATCACATAATTCCCAGATAAGTGCATATTTAACTTGAGGAATTTGGTATTTTACATTGATTCATGTGAAAATTACTTCAATTTTACCATAGTTGTTATAACATTGGAAAAGAGAGGATTCCAAGTATAAAGTACTCAACATCATTATCTTTATTCAATTTCTAGATGTATCTCAAGTCAACACCATCATTTCAAAGCATCCCATGGAAAAATATTCTTTTATTATTTTTGAGATAAACTTTTAACTAAATATCTTTTAGTCACTTAAGGAAGATGAACCATTTAATCCAAGTTTAAGATAATTAAGGATATAAAATTTAATGAGAAATAAATTGAGTAATCAATGGTTGTGATCAGAACTTCCATCTAAAAGAACTCAAGAATGGAATTGTTTTAAATGAGTAGATGTAGCAAGGGGAAAACCACCTCAAAAACCTTTGAGTTTAATAGTTTTAGAACTATGAATATCATGGGACTTGAGATCTGAAGGAAAGATCTAAGATGCTTGAGGTAGTTGATGAAAATCAAAATAAAAAGTCAAGTAATTCAACCCCCTCTTATTGATCTAAGTGTGGCCTTAAATCCATCATCATTTACCCCAATACTTCAATCAGAAGTCACTCCAGTACACTATTAACCTTCTTACTCAAGCCTGCATAGAAAAAAAAGAGGCTCGCTAAAGAGAAATGTCAAAATATGCGAATTTGTGTGTGCATAGAAAGGAGGGATTCTAATAACCATCACATAAAACTACATGAGCTCAATCAATTAAGGGAAATGAAATATCTTCAGCTCAAGTTTTTCATATCCACCTTTATTTAGAAGCTTGACACCATCTACATTGATGAAGAAGCCTCATTAATTTTATAAATGCAAGGGAAATATTTTCATTTCGTGCAATTATATTGTGACAAAACTTGACCTACCTTTAGCATTAAATTTTGGTAAAAGGAGTGGATACTCCTCTAATTGAGCCACAGAGAACTATCTATCAAGAAATAAACTATCAAGAAATTTAGTTAGTTGGAGATGTCAGTCCAATCAGTTGAGTCTAGAATCTACACTCTAACCTAGTAAGGATATAGTAGAATCCAAGGAGAATGCCCTCAGAGAGAGTAAGTCAAGAAGGCAAAATCACTATAAAGTGTGGTGTGAATTTGGTGGTACCCAACTCTAGAAGAAAAAACCAAGTTACAAGAAAATTACCCCAAAAGGAAAAGATCAAATCATCCCTCCCCTTCTTGATATTATGCTGCCACCAAGAAACAAACATTTAAAACTGACACTTGGCACAAGGGTGTGCATTCCACTAACATAGGAGTACATTTGTTGATAGCCAACTTGGTCTAGGAGGTTTGAATCTCCTATTTATTACCTAGAGCCCTCATAGCTCTTCCCTAAACTTGATAGGACATAAACCCACCTCAAAACTATTACAAATATTTGAAAAATAAAATAAAATTCCTATTTATTAAATAAAAATGTACTCGAGTCTATATTTGTAAATTTTCCACCAATTACTATTCTCATGAGAGAAAATTCCCTAGCTCAAGTAAAGTACCATTTACGTCAAACTAAAGAGAATTTTTTAAAAAAATAATTGATATAGATTAAAAAGAGAAGGCACATATTTATATCTTATCCCTACTATTTGTCATTCAATTGCTAACAAATTTCAATCATTATGCAAGAGTCCCTTGTTAAGAATAGTTATTGAAGGAGAAATTAAGCTAGTGGAACATCATGAAGTACAAACCACTAATCAAATATTACATGTTATATTTGTATGTGTTAGGTGGGTAATAGTGTTAGTTAAATGTTGGGTAAATCTGACCTCTTGGATCAATGTTACCAAGTTAAGTGAGTTGACACTTTGAATCACCTCCTTAATATGCCCTACTTAATTCCTCCATATTACCAATTGTAACCCTCTATGTTGTTTATCGAGATTACATAGTTTCCCCTCAACAACTTAAATGCCTTCTTGTTTTGTATCCTAATTGGTGTGAGATTTAAGTTCCTTGTACAAATCAAATGGAATCAATCAAGATTCAGCTGCCCATCTAAAAGATTTTCCTTGGTCAAATGTAACCAAACTATGTAGGCTGAGAATTGGGGTACTTTGACGTTAATAAAATTTAAAATTTATATGCATGCATCACTATACCTTTTTTTTCCGAAAATAGTGATTAATACACTTACAACTGGTGTGCATCAATAAAATATTAAATGTGAGTCATTATATTTTATATTTTACATGGATCTTTTTCAAAAAAATTGTCCCCTCCTACTTGTTCTATTCGGCGCATCATTAATATTGCAGGTCCCTTGGAGCAATTAAACTTGCTCTCTTTCCTCCCCTTCTCCCCCCCTGCACCGTCCAAAGGACCATACCGGAGCTAAGGGCCGGGCCTATCCTTGATTTGGGCTATTTGGCTTGGGCCTAGGAGGCCCCACTGTTGGCTTGATCTCCAGAAGCACGGGACTCCCCAAGGTTTGTGGCCCATCGGGCCCATTAAGGTTTTGACCCAACAAGTGCGATAGAAATGGAGGGGAACCGACGGCCCGTTTACTGTAGAAAACTGGTTAGGGTCCCACTCCGCCACACTTCCTCACAGGCTGTTCGCAGTGCCTGGATCTCTCTCTCTCTCTCTCTCATCCACCGTAGATCCACTACTCTCCTATCAAGATCCACGAGAAACCGCTTCTTATATCACCGAACATCGGAGACTCTGATTTCTCTCTCTCTCTCTCTCTCTCTCTCTCCCCGTCGCAGCGGCGAGCAGCGGAGAGAAGACGGAAGTGGAGATCGGCCGCTGCGGCTGGTGGATCCGGGCAGCTCCATCCGAGGTCGTACTCCGGCCGCTCCTGCTCCTTCAGAATTCCCTGTTCTGGATTCCTTCTCCTATTCTCGCCTCGAATTCTTCTCAACAGTCAGATCTACGCTCCCCGACCCCAGATCGGCGCTGGTTCCTCTCAGATCTCTCGCCCTGCGGAGCCCTAGTCTCGCGGTTGCTGAAGAGGAAGGGAGATGGAGAAGTCCTGCACCCTGCTGGTGCATTTCGACAAGAGCTCCCCCGCGCTGGCCAACGAGATCAAGGAGGCGCTCGAAGGCAACGATGTCCCGGCGAAGATCGATGCTATGCGCAAGGCCGTCATGCTCCTCCTCAATGGCGAGCCCCTCCCTCAGCTCTTCATCACCGTTGTTCGCTACGTTCTGCCCTCCGAGGACCACACCATCCAGAAGCTGCTCCTCCTCTACCTGGAGATTATCGACAAGACGGACGCCCGCGGCCGCGTCCTCCCGGAGATGATCCTCATATGTCAGACCCTCCGGAACAACCTCCAGCACCCGAACGAGTACATCCGCGGGGTCACCCTGCGCTTCCTCTGTCGCCTGTCGGAGGCCGAGATTATCGAGCCTCTGGTGCCGTCCGTACTCAGTAACCTGGAGCATCGCCATCCCTTTGTCCGGCGGAATGCCGTCCTCGCCATCATGGCGATCTACAAGCTACCACAGGGGGAGCAGCTCCTCGTCGACGCCCCAGAGACTATCGAGCGGCTCTTGTCTACCGAGCAAGACGCCTCCACGCGTCGCAACGCCTTCCTGATGCTGTTCCAGTGCGCGCAGGACCGCGCTGTTGCTTACCTGCTCTCCCATATCGAATCCGTCACCGAATGGGGGGAGCTGATGCAGATGGTGGTTCTCGATCTGATTCGGAAGGTGTGCCGAACGAATAGGGCGGAAAAAGGGAAATATATTAAGATTATCATCGGGTTGCTGGACTCCGCCTCAACATCCACGGCAGTGAGCTACGAATGTGCTAGCACGCTGGTGTCTCTCTCTTCGGCACCCACGGCCATCCGTGCCGCTGCCAACACCTACTGTCAGCTCCTCCTCTCGCAGAGCGACAACAATGTGAAGCTCATTGTCCTTGACCGGTTGAATGAGCTCCGCTCTGCGCACCGGGACATCATGGTGGAGCTGATCATGGACGTCCTTCGTGCCTTGTCCAGTCCTAACCTTGATATTCGCAGGAAGACCATTGACATTGCTCTTGAGCTCATTACCCCAAGGAACGTCGATGAAGTGGTTATGACCCTCAAGAAGGAGGTCGTGAAGACACAGAGTGGTGAGCTCGAGAAAAATGGGGAATATCGGCAGATGCTGGTGCAAGCCATCCATTCCTGCGCCATCAAGTTCCCAGAGGTAGCAGGCAACGTCGTCCATCTCCTCATGGACTACCTTGGTGACAGCAATGTGGCCTCAGCAATGGATGTGGTCATCTTTGTTCGTGAGATTATTGAGACTAATCCAAAGCTTCGCGTCTCCATCATCACCCGCTTGCTGGACACATTTTACCAGATCCGCGCAGCTCGTGTGTGTTCATGTGCTCTCTGGATCTTGGGTGAGTACTGCCTTTCACTTTCAGAAGTGGAGAGTGCTATTGCCACCATCAAGCAGTGCCTTGGTGATCTCCCATTCTACACTCTCAACAGTGAGGAGACTGACTCATCAGACACATCACAGAAGCCCTCTCAAGTTAATTCCACAGCTACAGTGTCATCTAGGAGACCTGCAGTTCTTGCAGACGGGACCTATGCCACGCAGAGCGCTGCTTCTGAGACAGCCATCACTGCTCCCACTCTTGCAGCTGGGTCCTTGTCATCACCAGGAAACTTAAGATCCTTGATCCTTGGTGGAGATTTCTTCTTGGGGGCTGTTGTTGCTTCCAATCTGACCAAGATTATTCTGAGACTAGAAGAAGTCCAACCATCAAAGACAGAAGTCAACAGGGCTGTCAGTGGTGCATTATTGATCATGGTGTCCATGCTGCAATTGGGGCAGTCTTCTGTGATGCCCCATCCTATTGATAATGATTCCTATGACCGCATTGTTCTTTGTATTAGATTGCTATGCAACACAGGTGATGAAGCAAGGAAGATATGGTTGCAGTCTTGTCGCCAGAGCTTTGCAAAGATGCTCTCGGACAAGCAGCTGCGTGAGATAGAAGAGATAAAGGCAAAAGCCCAAGTTTCTCATGCTCAACCGGATGATCTTATTGACTTCTACCATTTGAAGAGCAGAAAGGTGAGATAGCATAGTCCTTGCTCTTGCCTGCAAGTTAGCGAATATACTTCCCTTTCGTTTAGGTCCCCCAAAGTTCATCAAATTTCTACTTTGGTTTGAAGCTGACATTTTTTTTTGTGATTCCAATCGATTCAATTATGTTTATTATATAGAATAGAACCGTGTTCATGCAATATGTTTTGAGGTTTCACTTAAAAAATTTGAATCGTGAACATGTTGATCAATATCTATGTGATGGAAGCACGAAGATTTACGAATGGAATGCCGTTCCGAATTTAGTGTTTAGGCAGTATTTGGGGATGATTCGCTGTCCTGATTTCTGTTTTTTTATCCTGGTGAAATGTGGATATCTTAGTTAGCATGGGTTTTCCGTTGGCAATAAATTTGCCGGTTTCAAGCTGGATCTCACTCTAAAATAAAACCAGGAACATGTTTCCTTGCTTTTTATTTGGTATCCACATGTCTCAATTATGAAGTCGGAGAAATTCAATGCGCATGGAGCTTGTAAAGCAGTTCTGTATAATTTCTTTGTATCTCCATTTAAAATTCCTTACTGCCATATTTTATGGTTTATTATTTGCATCACATCTTCTTTAAAGTTTCAAACATTTTGTCTAACAACACATCATGAGAAATGCAGTTTTTTATTGTCTGACTCATCGAACTAATCCATTTAGTGGCTTCAGGAAATTTACAACAATCTTCATTAACTGTCTTCCTCTCTTATTGCTACCCATCCAACATAATTGTTTTGCTAAAAGGTTTCTATACTTGGTTTCGTTTCTGAGTCGGAGTATTTTGTCCCCTTTACCATTCTTTTAAAGGGGGACACGTAACGTATGAAATGATTGGAGCTTGTATTTTGAGAGAAAATGACTTGCAAGCTTAATCAATCAATGGCTCAAAACTGTTCAATCTAGCTGCATTGAAAGGAGCACCACATTCGTGGACCAGGAGGTGGCATGTCTTCTCTGTTCGGCAAAGCTTATTTATTCTTATCTTCCTCCTTTTATTCACGACATAGTTTACACATACTTTGGGGGTGCGACTCGAATTGCTTTGCAGTTGACTCTACTAGCTTTCGTGGGATGGAGAGACATGAGAAACTGAAAAGAGGGAGGGGTCGCTCTGCAATCCTTGCAGACAAGAGAACCCTGTCTTCTGCCCCAGAGAGAGCTTGGGGGGAGAGGCAGCAAAAGACTATATATGCAAGAAGGTCCTAACTCTGAGAATGGCAGCATTGTCAGTAAGAACATCCTCATGAACAGTGTGGTGAGATAGCATTTGAAGAAACGAATTTTTAGAGTTATATATGTGGTTCTATTGAGCCAAACAGTTTAGGTATGTGTTGTGAAATTCACGTGTGAATGGTTCATGATAATTGGATATGAAGTCTTATCTTTTGATGCCAGACATGATCTAGCTAGATGCAGCCGCCCAGATCTCAGCAAGACCTAGAGAATTGGGATCGTAACCCGAGAGAAAAATCTTCCCGAATTTAATCATATGACGAAGTGAACTCTGCACTTGCCATTGAAAAATGTGGAGCATTGGATGTCGGAACTCACACGAAACAATTTGGGCGCACTTTATCTATAGTTTCAGGACCATTGAAATAGTAGCCATTGCTCACATTCTCACCGGGTTTTCTCAAAGGTAACCCAACCCACCGGCAGGTCTACTACTTACTACTCCTATGGAAAGCTGTCATAGAGAGGAACTGGTTGACCAAGTGTAGAGTTGTACACTTGGTCTGCACATCCCTCGTTGACGTTTGAATACGTCGGGAAATTCTGAGGTGGCTGAAGAGGGAGGTTCTTCCCACCTTCCCTTCCCTATCTCGCATCACTGATGTCTGATCTTGGAAGCAAAAATTGGTGCAGGGCATGAGCCAGCTGGAGCTGGAGGACGAGGTCCAGGACGACCTGAAGCGCGCGACGGGCGAGTTCACCAAGGACGGGGACGACGCAAACAAGCTGAACCGCATCCTCCAGCTGACGGGTTTCAGCGACCCGGTCTACGCGGAGGCGTACGTGACGGTGCACCACTACGACATCGTGCTGGACGTGACGGTGATCAACCGGACCAAGGAGACGCTGCAGAACCTGTGCCTGGAGCTGGCCACCATGGGGGACCTCAAGCTGGTGGAGCGGCCGCAGAACTACATCCTCGCCCCCGAGTCCAGCAAGCAGATCAGGGCCAACATCAAGGTCTCCTCCACCGAGACCGGCGTCATCTTCGGCAACATCGTCTACGAGACTTCCAACGTGCTCGAGCGCAACGTCGTCGTCCTCAACGACATCCACATCGACATCATGGACTACATCTCCCCTGCCACCTGCGCCGACGTCGCCTTCCGCAACATGTGGGCTGAGTTCGAGTGGGAGAACAAGGTCACCTCTCTCTCTCTCTCTCTCTCTCTCTCTCTCTCTCTTCCTTCATCTTTCATCTCTTTTGCGTCGTTCAAGCAATATCGTCACCAGCAATCATACTATCAGACTAGTTGGGTCATCACATCTCACGGCGGATGAGATTAGGTCATCTACTTTGTCATAACTGGTGGCTGGGTCGCAGGTGGCGGTGAACACGACGATCCAAGACGAGAAGCAGTTCCTGGAGCACATCATCAAATCCACCAACATGAAGTGCTTGACCCCGCCGTAATCGCCCTCTCTCTCTCTCGCTTTCTCTCTATAGTCTTTGATTCGTCGTGGTCGGATGATGATCCATTTATTGAATGTGGTTTTGGCAGGTCGGCTCTGGACGGGGAGTGCGGGTACCTGGCGGCGAACCTGTACGCGAAGAGCGTCTTCGGGGAGGACGCGCTGGTGAATGTGAGCATCGAGCGGCAGGACGACGGGAAGCTGAGCGGGTACATCAGAATAAGGAGCAAGACGCAGGGAATCGCCCTCAGCCTCGGCGACAAGATCACCCTCAAGCAGAAGGGAGGCGGCAGCAGCTGACCAAATCCTTCTCCCTCCCTCCCCCTTTTGCTTATTATTATGGATGGGCCACCCGAGAGCTGCTTGTTTTCCTCCCCTCCCACCGGAAGCTAGCTCGAAGCTTGGAATACAAACTGAGAGAGAGAGAGAGAGAGTGTGAGAGAGAAAGAGAGACCCCCCCCCATTCCCCCCCCTTCCCTTACCTCTCCTCTGTCACTCTTCTCTTTCTTGATCGCTCGGATTCCGCTGAAAAGACAGGTTTTGCTTGCTGCCATCATAAATGTGTCCTAAGAAAAAAGGCTGCCGTCGATGATACTGTGCTGCCTGCGTCCCCTTCGATACACACATACATTGAATGGTGACGGCACGCCAGCCGTCCAGCTCCCTGTCTCCCGTCAGTCAGGAAGAGTGCGCGTCCTGCATCTCCCGGCACAGCAGGTCGATGAACTGATCCTGCTGCTCCAGAGAAAGGGAAACAGCGCAGGGCAGAGACCCTCCACACGTCAGGCAAAGGGTAAGCATCAATAGAATGAGCGAAGCATGCAGACGGGAAAACTTCTTTAAACGTGGAACCAAGTGGGCGTGATCTAGCTAGCCGACCCTTTTGTCTTGTGGTCTTCTTCTAACTGCTGAAACCTTGCATCACACAGAATTAGAATAGACTCAGTAGACTGGATCTACTTCTTGTACCCCACCCTTTTCCCCCATAGAGTTGACTCTCTTCTCCTTTGGAGAGTGCTCTGCAAATATGCTCAGTTGTCGCGACCCACAAAGCGGCAGTTCACCAACTGGTGGGGGAATTGGGAGTCGGAGGCTCGGTTAGAGACAGAATCGTCAAGAATCATTCTTTGCAAACTACCCTCATTTCTTCAGCTTGATATCGAGGCGCTAAGGAAATCGCAGTGGCCCGAGAACAACAGGTTGCGGCATTTCATGTTCAATGGGAAAAACGAGATAAGATCACCTCAGAGATTCCCAAAGCTTTCACCACACCGCAGATAGGGACGACAACACAGAGGAAGAGGAGGAGGAGGAGGAGGAGGAGGATATACCTGCACAAGTTTCAGCAACTCGTTGTGTACTTTATCTCGCGTGATAGCCGGGCCGTTGCCTTGGGATGGAGATGGACCCGGTGGGAGGAAGAGCTGGAGCAATGGAGCACCACCATATGACTGCTGTAAAGTCCCCCTCCCTGGAGAGTGGAGCAGTGGGGCCGCGATGGGAACAGAGGACCCCCCTGATGGCATCATCACCAAATAAGTAGAGGAAGCTGGCTGAGCAAAGAAGGATGGTTTTACAAGATTCGCAGACGAACCCACAAACGTCTTGTTGACTGGTTCCAATGTTTCCAGAATGGGCATGAAAGGGGGCGGCTGACAACGTCGGAAGATGAGGAGAGGGTTGAAGGATTGGGATGGGGGAGGGAGCGACAGCAGTAGATGCACGGGCAGACAAAGGGATCGTAGGAGAGGATGGATGTGCTCGTCCAGAGCTCATCAGAGCATCTGCCGCATTCCCTACGATCTCGGCCGTCTGTAGTGTATCATCAATCACAGGTTTCAAAACAAGTCTCAACTTTTTATGCAGCTTTCATGCAAGATGAGCAAGAAATCGAGGATAATGCAACCGGGACAAAAATCAGGGAAACGTAATCAGGCTAGTTAGATCTCGAGGCAGGAGAGTCCGGACACATCTGAGGAAATCTCAAAAATATTTCACCCATAAGCTGAAAGCGTGGGCCTAAAATCTCAGTTAAACACACTCACTTAGCGCAAAAGTCTACAACAAAGTAAGTATTCAGTGAGCATAAAAGGCGCATATGCTGAAGAAGCTCACAAATGAATCTTCAGGCATACTCATAGCAGCGGATGATACTGATGGCTCCGGTGTACCTTCTACCCAAGACAAACTTGGGACACATTCAAGTTCCTCAAAATCACTGCGACCAGTAACAAAAAAAAAGAAAAAATTTAAAATGAAATAAGCAAGCACGAGCTTGCTCCGCTCCCCTGCATGAGAAACTGATACAAAACAGACTGCATATCAAAAAATTGTACGAGAAAGCATCAAAAAGTTTAATTAATGGCGTTCTTCAAGGTGAAAGTTTTGTAGGAGTGATGTGCGACCCCATACATCACCATACCTTCTGACCACTGGGCATCTGCTGCAACCTGAAGGCTACCACATTCATGGTGGTTCTTTGTAACCACGATTTCTCTGCTCACCTATAGGAACTACAAAGTGCTGTTCTTCTGACGTGATTAACGGTGCAACAAGTTTCTTGCACTCTGTCTGGCCTTCCAATATCTATGGGAACCCACAGTTCTCCACAGTTCTCCACAGTTCTCCACAGTTCTCCATGTCCATGTATCTGACTCTCACCTCCTCCACCCAGCCTAGGATGACTGACGAACACGAGAGTTCCACGGGGAACAGGCTATCACTCCTCGAACCAGAAGACGAAAACTCGTGCTAGGGAGAAGGAGAGGGGCCGTATCACTATGCCGATGTTTTGCATGTCGGCAGAGCCCACCACCGCGAGTCCGTCCGTTGCGGATGCGCTTTCAGACGCGAGAATGCTCTCTTCTAGAACTAACCACTGCTCCTCTTCGGTTGGACGGAGCGCATTTGCCGCGATTTCTCAATCTTCTTCGGAAACATGAGTGGCATCTATTCATGGCGGTACGAATGATACCGAGCTCCATCGTCGAAGATTGCGCAAGAATTCAGGAGCCCAGAACTGGCCGACTCCTTCCCTCATCACCCACCTTGGGGAACAAACATCCTTGGAGCTCATCATCGACATCATCGAACAACGCTAGGAGCTGGATAGCTGCTACCTACCAGGCTCGTATTTCTAGAGATGTGAGGAGCTCATCTCCCCTCCCTTCCGCCCTGTGCTAGCCACATCATTGACCCATCATCGGCATGTCCACTTTGCGACCACGTACTTTTCAGGATCTGAAAAGCGGAAACCACGAAACAGAGCTCTCCGATGAGTTCGTGTGCCAGCCATGATGCTTTTCCCATGATCCTTGCCTTTCGGATGGACTTTTCTTTACAGCCGCCATTTTCGTACCGGCCAGAACAGACCGACGTCAGATGTGGGTGGTGCTGTATTGCTTCGTCGAGCGGCATCAGTCACAGAATTATCGATGCCGTTTAACCTGAAAGCTAGCTCATGAGTTCAATGACTAAGAAGTGTGCCACCGAGGATCTCCGCCAAGGCTAGGACATATAGAGAGCGAAAAACCCTTCTATTTTAGACGATGGGTATGAGTTCGGACGTTGAGTGGCCTAGAAGAACAAGGTTATTGCCGTCAAATCAGTGACCAACTTTTGTGGATTATCTCTGCAAACTATCACTAAATATTATTACTTCTTGTAGATCTTCCTCTACAATTGATTTTTGAACCTAGTAAGCAGATTTTAATCGTAATAGAACCTCAAGTTTCATACTAATTCGTGCTATTCTTCGACACAAATTTAAGGTGGAGAAATGAAGGATTTCTGAGCCACAATTTTTTGAATTTCTTTTCCTAAGTAAAATAGGTAAGTACTTTGAGAAAATGTCAGCATTCTTAACATTCCCATAAACCACTCACATTTTTTAGAAAACCCAATAGCTTTGAGAAGAAATCTTGGTAATGCAATTGCTCAAAGAATTAAGGTCATAATAGCAAAGAGAAGAGGGGCCTTTATTGGCTATTTTGTACACCACAAGGTTATCCTGCCTACAGATTTCTAAAGGAATCAAAATCTTAAGTGAGGACCCCTAAACTACAAAAAAGCCTTTGAAGTTTAAATTTATATCATTTTTTGCTTCACTAAGCATATTATTGATCAAATACAACTCAAGAGCTCTAGTTTTGATAACCTTAAAAAGCCAACTAAATTGTGGAGGATGATCTCTATCTTGAGAAAGAAAATCTATCTTGGTTCTAGACAAACTTATTAAAAAAATATCCAAGATGATGCTTAGGGAATGGAGCATTGGTTTTAAGGAGGATGCAAGAGGGACCGAGAGGGGGGCTAAATGGGTCTTTCTTCAACTTAAATTATACAATCTGATTAATAATATTTGACTTCCTTAGCCTACTCTACTCTCCAAGAATCATATCCTTAGGTTCTAGTAAGCCAAAGTAGTACAATTGTTAAACCCTGACAACAGGTTGCCTACACTAGATTGGATGACTCTACATAACTTAATTGTTCGCATAAAACACTCATTCCAACTAAGAAAAGTTCAAAGGGGACTCTCCCTTATAAATACTAGATGGATTTGAGCAATGGGCATTAAGTCATCCTCCAAGATCTTGTATTTTCACATGAGAAGTGTAGTACTTGCCTTTAGCAAGTTTTTTGTAGCATGATGAGAGACTTTTTGGCATTGGTGAAGGCATCCAAAGTCAACATACAGTGTTAAGGCATAGTAAATCATGTAAAATGTAAACTAGGGTTGCACATTTAAAGCTATTTCCATGTTTTTTTAAGTAAAGTGGGTTGACATAGTTTTAGCTTTGGATGAGAGAACTTTGGGTCAGCATAGTAGGCTTTCACAAGATTTTCTGAGTTGATACACTATTATAGGATCAACAATCTCTTTTAACATCACATATTTATTGGGATTATCACTCTATGCCAAACATTAAGGCACTAATTTACTTATCTACTTCCAATACAAGCACTCTTTGAATGTCTTCACATATGATGAGAAGTTGTGAAGAATTATAATAACCCCACAATATTAAAAAGACAAGCTTCTTTGCTGATGAAGGCAAGTTGATCAGGGCAAAACGTGAGCACAAAGAAATTTACATCAAAATTATTGCAAAGATTTTGATGATGTAATAGATTTTGGAAACATAGACACCATTGAAAAGCCAATGTGAAAGGGTTTTTTAGAGCTTAGAATACTATTATTGGAAACAAGTGACATTTGATCAATCAAAAATATCTGGGGTCAAAATATGGGTTGAGATGCTATAAAGTGACATAGTAAGACCTACCTAGTTTGACAATATGACTTCCTTTCTGAATAGGTCATGAACATAGGCATGTTGGATACCTTTTGAAATTTATTATCTTCTAATTTGTTAGGGTTGTCTGTATGCCATTGGCACATGTCAGTCTACATTAGAGATTTTCTCTAGAGGAGATTTATTAGACTATCAAAGATCTTGCCACATTTCATACTTGTTGTCAAGTCATTTTCACATGCCAAGTGTATGTTTCAATCTTTTGCCATGTGTCAACTTGAGTAATTTTTTAACTTCACCACATCTCACTTGATTGGTCAGAATTTACCATGTGTCTTATCAATTATTGACTATGTCACCATGTGTTGTTGTGATGTCACAATTCTAACATGTCATTAAGGTGTCAAATGATCTCATGTGTCACCTAGATTTTTTGATTGGTATCATGTGACTTTAAGTTGTCGAATAAAGTCAGCTTACTTACATATTCTGATGTTGTTTCATTTCTCCAAGTGATGCCATATGTCATCTTAATTTTGACTTTTCTTGTTTCAATTTTGTCTTAGGTGACTACATGTCATAGATTTTCTGTTCTTGTCATGTGTCACTTATCTTGTTAGATTTTCCATCTATCTAGATTATATAGTAAATAGCTCATCAGTTTAACCCTTCTAACTAACAATAGGTCAACAAACCTGATCAGTAAGTTGACACACTTTCAAAGTGGTTAGAACCACATCTATAGTTGTTCAACGTACTTTCTTTTATCCACTTAAAAACCTTTTTTATTTTGATTTCCTTTCAGCTGTTGACAACTTGGTTCAATGTTCACATGATTTTGACATCCTTTTCATCATTTGAGCCTTGAAACAAATAACTAAAACCAGATCAATAGATTTAGACCTTCATTTGGAGATTAGCACCCTTTAACATATATTATATGACAACTTTTTATAATTATATTTATGGGATCAATTTGTTAATGTCAAAATTATTAAATGCAAAATTAATATACTTGAAAAAAAAATCTTTTTTAAATAAGATAATCCTTCTAAGTCTCCAAACCCTAGTTACAACCTAAAACTGTATTTCATAAATTATTTACTTTTTTCCATAACAATAGTTTTTTAATAAAAAATAACAAAATAACCTTCCTATGATAAGACAGCTCCTACTTGCACCATTAATATATTACATTCTACTTGAAATAACCTCAAAATGTTGCAATACTAACATAGATGTAGAGTATAATTTCTCTTTAATATGAATAAAACTTTTATCTTCCTTTTCTCATACATTGTAGTACTTGATGAACTGAAATTTCTGATAATTTTTCTATAAAGGAGACTAATCATTAGATGCTACAAACCAACCTAATATTAATAGCTATTGGTCATTCTTTGATAACTTGATCTTTTCTTTATCAACCTTCCGTTTGTGTTGATTGTGGTACTCAATATATTCAACTATTTTGATGATGATAAGATAGTTACACATAAATGAATGCTAACTTTATGAGAAGATAAATATGTGAATTAGCATATTTAAATCAAGTGAAATTTAAATAATGTCATTATTTTCTAGTGAATCTGAATGAATAATTTTATGTTGAAATTGGTGTCAGTAGGCTTGTTACTATCCATTGGAAAGATAATTGAAGTAAAAAGACATTACAACAAATTAGGCATCAAAATTCATACAAATTGTTTTTCATGATTTTTAGAAAATTAATGAATTTATAAAAAAAATCAGCGAAAAAATGGTTTAGACTTCTAAATCAGCTGATTCAAAGGACTTTTAAGTAAATCATTTGAATATATTGGCATGTAACTGCACATTAGAAAGTTCCCTTAAAGAGAAATCAATGCAAAAAATCCTGCATCAATCTTTAAAATATTCAGATGTTAGGAATTTTACAAAGTTAATAGAGATTTTTCTCTTTCAAAGCATGAAGGTGGCCCATTAAGGCCAGCTGAACTAGCTGTTGAAAGACCGTTTGGCCCGTTAATTATAAAAAGAGGGCTTTCACCCAAATTATTGTAAGGAGTGAAAAATCAAAAGAGAATTGACCAGAATCAAGAGACAGCCTCAACTTCATCCAACCTCTTCTTCCTCCAAACATCCCCAAAAATACTCTCTCATCTAGCAAGAAGTGTTGTTGTATCCTATGTTTCAGAGCTTCTACAATACTTGAAGATTCATTGATCCTTAGAATTCACATCATCTGTCTTCTCTAGTAGTAAGCTTCTCCATTCTGAAGAAGATGGTTGTACAATTATGTTGAATATTTTCTATGAATTGGTATTGTGATTGGAAATATGAAGGGATTCTTGAAGTACCCATCACATGGTCGAAATGCTAGCTAGAGCCTTGAATATATTACATAGATAGACTTTCGTAGTCTATGCTATCAAGGACAGCCTCTCTAAAAGATGAGAAGGAAATTTAGGCGAGTGATAAAAGTATGAACTGCTTCAAGTGGAAAAGAGACTGTCTTAATAACCATTATATTTCACTTATGAGCACCTCTTATCTGTGTTTTGGAAAAATACTAATGTCCAATAAGAGTAGCTGAGAATGACTCAATGTGACTACCATCACTACTAGAAGAGATGTGAAGAAGCTCTGAACCCCCCTAGTCATTAGCCTTCACCTGCTTTCCTCTCACCAGTAAAAATTCCAAATAACATCAGTAACCCAAAACTATTTTGGTAGGAGTGTAAGATAAAGAAGGTGGATCATGTTAATTTAGTGGTCACTGAGGTAAATCACCGTAGAGGGGTTCAAAAAGCCTAAGAATTCACCTTAGAGGGATTAAGAGAGCCTAACAAAACAGTACAATTAAGAGTATAATAGAGGAACCAACAACAGCTGTTCCATGTCAAAAACTTTTGATAGCCTATGAAATTAAGTTAATCACTCCTTTATAGATGTAGTTAAGAAACTGTTCACGTTTATAGACAAATGTCAATAAAAAAAGGTCCAATAGTATTCAGTTAGACAGCCTTATGCATGATAGTTGATATTGAGTTTTGCATAGGCAGCAACTAAAAAAAAATATTTTCTTTATTCAATGGAAGCTAAGGAAAATACCAAATGTTACCTACAAATTTACTAGAGTTTACGTTACATTAAAAGTTCCTACAGAAGTAGTTTCTACCACAACAGATGATGACAGCTATTCAGGTCACCTAGTTTCATATTTGCTTTTGAATTGAAAGAAGGACATGCGCAGAGAAAACTCTTGCTTCACAGGCAGATCGCACTAAAGCTGCAGGACAGGTATGAGCTTTCGTTATTCGTTTTTCTACTACATAAACTTGTGACATCATTTTTTTTTTTAGGGCTTATTTTATCACAAGTATGGAACTGATCAAATTCTGGGATTTCATCTCAAGGATTGTTGGAGAACTTGCATATGAGAGGTATATATATATCAAATCCTGAGAGTCGTATTTTATTTTATGGTCTCTTATCACCTGCGTACTTATTAGCCAACAATTTACAAACCAATTTTGAGTACCCACGAATTTGGTCATTGGAAACTTGTTAGCATCAACTAAAGGTTTTTGGAAAATGGTTGTGCACGATAAGAAAGGCTTCCTGAAAACTATGGGTTAGAATTCTGAATACATCTTTTGTTAAATCCATTCATCAGTTTTTTCTCTTTTTTGAGTGATTCTGAAATTTTTCAGCCCTCACTGTTCTTAGATGACATGTACTCCATGTGATGATCAGAAAAATGTAACAAACTAAATGGAACTTATTGCTCTAAATATTCTGTATTCTTTACCAACAATTTATTATATTTTATGACAATGAATATATTACCTACTTTAATATATTCTACTTTAATAGAAACATATTATTTGATCGTTCTAGATAACTCTACATGATTTCAAAGATCACTTGCATCATTACTCGTGTCTTTTCTCATTTTCAAAGTAATTGTGACACTACATAAGTACAAAATAGTAAATTTATGTTGCCAACTTTTGTTTTGGGGCCACTAAACTTCAAGTGATATCTACCACTAATGCTTGCATGAGTATCACTAGCATTTGGGATCAATTGCTTATGAAGTGCAATCTCTCCTTACTACTAGGAAAGAGGTCATTTCATGAGTTGAAGATTTGCTTAGAGTTAATCATGGCATTAAAGTACTCATGAAGTAGTGATTATGGTGTCTACAAGTAACAAATCATCATAGCCTTTTTTCAAAACTTTAAGCTCAAAAGAATGCAAAAATGCTGCCTTATAAAACAATGAACTTTTAGGAACATTAGAAGTATAGTGCTTGCAAGTAACCATGTGAATAATTAAAACCATCACTAAAGTCTTTTCTCACAAATTTAAGCTCAAAAGAATGCAAAAATGCTGCCTTAGAAAGCAATGAACTTTTAGGACCATTAGAAGAATTCTTATATTGAAATTTTCGAATACAAAAACAGCTAATTTTTTAGTTAAACCTCCACATCAATAGCCCACAAAATCATGCGTAAAGAAGTCCTCCTTAAATATAATATTGTAAGTATTTATCTTTATGTCATTCTAATGTCTGTATTTACTGTATTGGGTACCACTCAAACCCATTAATTTAGAAAATGTGCCCCATATACACTTCAGCTACCCTTTACTTGATATCGTAGAAGCGATATTTTGAGAACATGTGGTCACACATTTAGTAATGAATCTAGAAGAGCCTAGTAGAAGCCTTAATATTTAATGAAAAATGTTTATCAAACTTTGTAAACTATGCAGACTCAAACTTGTTTGTCTTCAACAATCAATCATAAAACAAGAAATCTATGAATGTTTGAAAAAGCTTAATTCTTTCCCTCTTTTATTTTCGTTTGCTCTTATCACAAACGAAAAATGTTTTCCATTGTTGGTGATTTAGCTTGATATTGCATCATCAATTTTCTGCCTTTTCTATATAAAAGTTCAGAAGATTTTCTTCATGATTAACAATAGTGTCTTCGTACTTTCTAAATGAATCCTTTTGAACTAATTATAGGCATTCAACTCTTATATCTAACACATTTTTTCCATATTGGGAAGGAGATATTATTGTGTTTAGCATGTCACTTGAAGGAAGTAGGTGAGTGATGATGTTTATCTTCTTTGAGGAGATTCCTCATTTCATCTACTTTGGTAATAGTAATTTTAGTATTTAACTTCATTACTATTCGACTAGTTTTATTAAGCTGTCAAAAAAAATCCTCTTGTCTTGTTGTTTCTTTGAAGGTGTCTAGTAACAATCAACACACTTATACTCTACATCATGCGTATGTTTCCTTTAGGAGTTCATAATTTTTTGAAGATGAATAAAAAACATGGATGATCTTAATGACTGATATGGAGGAAAGTCTAAGGGTAAAATCATCATTTTACGTCACAAGCTAAATTGGACATTATTTCGGCCCTTGAAATTTTACTGATTAGTTTCATGTGACCTAATATGATTTACATATGTTGAGATTGTTTTTACACATGATGAGGAGAGAGAGAGAGAGAGATAGAGAGACAGAGAGAAGATGACCATTAGTTACGGTACAAAATGACAAACAAAAATGAAATAACCATTGAGACACTACCTTGACAAAAAGAGTAAATTCAACCACTAAATGGCTGTTAGAAAAATCACAAAAACTCTAAAAAGTTGATGGGCGTAAATATTGACAATGAAGAAATCATGATCAAGGGTGAAAAATAAAGAGCCAAAAAGAGCAAAACACATCCTCAACAAGAAACTTCTCAAAGGATACACCAAATGACATAAAGTGGGTGTTGGGAAGTAGAGGTTTTAAGGATTTGGTCTTCAAGTTTAAAGTTTGAGGATACAACTATGTTGAAAATTTATCAATCTTTCATGAGAGGTTTAAGAGATGAGGATAGGTGTGGAGTTATACGAGTCAGTTTATCATTACCCCAAACACTTTCGGTTTGTTGCACTTAGTGATAGAATCCCAATGTAGAGCTGGGAAAGAGATGGATGGGCTGGGGATTGACTATGTTATCTCCCATTTATAAATGACAGCATATATTCTACATAAACAATGAACATAAGCTCACAAATGAGACTTATCTGTTGCGAAGGAAATTAGCAATACTCGATCCATCCATCTGCATCACAATCCGCCCATCTTCCATGCAGAATGCACCATCGGCATATTTGAGCTCATCTAAACGGTGTGTCACCCACAGTGCAGCAACTTGTTCAGTAGCCACAGAATTTTTAACGGCCTTAATAACTCCAACCTGGTTGTTAACAAACATCTCAGTAATGAAAACCATCAACTGGAGATTCACTCACTTGGGCCTAACATCAGAGTAATAGAATTGATTGCCAAAAGCATATAACTAAATAAGGAAACCACTTTCACATGTTTTTAAGAGAGGATTCTTGTAAAAACCAGTTAAGGCTGTAATATACGAAAAGGTTAGCCTCTTCTACCTTTTCCTCGGAAAGGTGTAGCTAACCATATGCTATTTATCAACTGACTGGTTGAATGGAGATAAATCACTTTGCTGGAAACCATCATATTACACTACAGGAGAAAGTGGACAAAGAAGAGTCCTTTGCATTAGTTCAATGCTTTTGGCAACCACGTGAGGGATTGATACCCAAGTATAACAATGATAGCATTGAAGCCCATGGGAAGACAATCCAAATGAATTCCAAGATTGTCCTACCCCATTGATCCTTTTTTGGCTCCTATCAGAGCTTTAAACAATTGCTTGATTTAAACTCAGAACAGGGTGAATGGCATCAGTTTCTGCCAGTTCAGATTGTTTTAGGTAATTCCAGTCTTAGATGGTTTCTTATCCATGAGACTAAGAACAGTTTGGAGTAAGTTTGCATATGAAGAAATTTTGAAAAGCATACATCAGTTGTCACTGCTTTGATTTCAACAGAATTATCGTCAAATCCTATTGCCAAACATCTGAAACAATCCAGTATCATTCTGATGATGATGCAGGATATGTTAAGAGTCAGCACATTCTTTTTGCTAACAAAAGAAAGAAAGAAAATGCATACCTGGTCTTTTTCGTCCAGAAAGGTAGTTAGCTCATCCAAGAGCAATACTTTACATGATTCTGCTAAGGCACCAGCAATAGCGACTCTCTGCTTCTGACCGCCACTAAGAGTTTGCACTGGTCTCTGCCAAATGAATAAAAAATCACACTACATTACTTTTCGGAATGTAGAAAATAATCCAGACATTGAACATACTACTAACCTTCAAGTATCTTGACATGCCAACAGAGTCTAAGGCCTTTGAAACTCTATTCTGCACTTCTTCTGCGGTTAGATTAAATTTACCGAGGCCAAATGCAACATCTGCTTCTACCGTAGGCATCACAATCTACAAAAACATATTAAAAAGGAATTCAGAGAAAGATATAACAAAATGTCGAGCTAGTATATCATTTCAACCAAGAAGAAATCAGGGCATCCCAAAATTTACTCGATGAAACCTATTCCACAGCTTAATTTTGTCAGAAAGTTCATGCAAGATCAAGAGTTTTCATAAGAGACTGAAAAAAGGTTACTCATTATAACGAATTACGTAGTTTATGTGAATCATGAAAGTAATTTGCATCTATTTTTTATATGTACAACTTACTTCTGTAGTATGCTGTCTTCTTCATTGGTTATATGAGGTTAGCCGTTAAAATGGAGTTTGTGGTTTCAATGAGGTAAGGTTAGTGAGAAAAGCTAGCCCAGCCTAACGTCTGGATGCCCTGGCTCTGGCCTTTTCCAGCAGCTCAGAATAAGATCATGCACTAGTGGTGCCTTTGATGAGACAGCAAACCTAGGCACCCAACCTTAGGGATCTTCATTGCTCTACATAGCTCTCATATTTCCTCCACATGGGACAGATTAGGATTCTGTCCGGTACTAAAGTATTTTCAAAAAATAATTATTTTGCAGAAGCTTATTCTTCCAATCTATTCTCCACTATCACACTCTACATGCTGCAGAAAAACATATTTTAGAATCCTGTGAATCAACTGTTAACGGCAGACACTGTCTTCCATTTGAGAAAGCATCTCCTCCAGAACCTTCCCCATGTCAGTTGCCATCTTTCTGCACTGCGCACAAGCAACTACTGCACATTTGGACATAACGGTTGTAAAAGAACTAGATAAATTCGACAGAAGACAAGTGTCTTCCGATAAGGTACTCTCAGCTTTTTATTAGGATAACTGCATATGATGACATTTATTGTTATATAGATAAGGTGATCCCTAACTTGGTAGTTTACTGCTTGATGATCTTGTTTTGGAGAATCATTGCGAAAAATAAATGTTCCATTCAGACAGATTCCGTTATGTCATGACTTATGGCATTCGACCATGACAATTCGTACATTCTTAGACCCCAAGACGAACTTTACGTAAGAATGGGATGCTATCCTTAAGTGTAATCCGTGTCAAGACATATTCAAATTTGAATACACATTACCTCGAATTTCCTCAGCACATCTTCATGCCTAGTTTGTAATTTCAGATGTCCCACAAATTATAAAAGGAAGCAGCTATTTGTCAACGTTTGAGTCACTGTAGATGTCCTTTTAGTTGCAATGATTGGGTGCATTGGACAAGCACAGAAAGCCTATGGTTTCACAAGCATCTTTCCTATCCCACTCTTGCTTCTCTATCCTCTTCAATCCTTTATTAAAGCTTTCAGAACTAATTCCGACTCTAAAATAGGCTATACGAACTTATTCAGGTTGCATTTGATTATGGGCCAATTGGTTTCAGACCAAACTAGTTGGTTCATTATACCTTGTTGTAACAGCCTTTTAAATACTAATGAAGATTACCAATAAGAAACTGGGATAAAACACAGGAATAAAGTTGCATTGCAATGAGTTAATAAAAATAAATGCACATTGAATCTTTGGATCACAAAGTGCTGCTAAAGTTTCATCTAATAAAAAATAAGATCGTTAAAAACGCACTCTTGTTCAATGAGCTTTCAACTCCCATGTGTAAAGTAAGGATAAATAAGACATCTAAATTAGGAATAAGAGTATACCTGATGGTCTGGATTTTGAAATACGAAGCTCTTTGGCCTATCTACATAAACTGTACCACAAGTCGGATTTAGGAGTCCTGCCAAGATCTGTATAATGAAGATGTTAGTTCATCAATAGTGCAGACTTTGCAATCACGTGTTTGATCTTCGGTCTTCACATATTATAAGGAGAATTTTCATTAAATTTATGGAGTATATTCTCCTTTTCAAGGGATGTTTTACTTTCAGGGTATATCTACACCCATGGTTTTAGGACGGTGTATGACACACAACATCGGTGATGTCTGGACTTACACAGGTAAACCACTAGTGTTAACTTTCTGAAGGAAGATACAATCAGGCCTTCGGTTATTAAGGGAGGGGGCTGCAGGCGCCAGCGAGATTAGGCACTCTAGTGGTGGGTATAAGGCAGAAAGTGGGGAGAACATAGGGTGGGAGGAGAACGAGGGAGATTAATGAATCATTCAAAGTTGTTTATTGGCTGAACGAAGGCCTCTGAGCCTTGAGGGAGGAGAACAAGGAATGGAGACCACAGTGAGGCTCCAGGTAAAGGAGAAAAAGAACCTGACGAAACAGGGACAAACTAGCAAGCTCGATGACATAAAACCTAAGTCTCATTTAGCCCAAAGGGTCCCCCAGTGTGTTTAGTGAGCTAGGCTGTGTTTAAAGCAGGGTGGGCCAGGGAGGCAAAAGAGAAACCCAGGGCCCATCACATCAGTATTGAAGGTCTTTCCAAAATAATGACTATTTCTCGGATTAACAGGTTTTCTTACTTGTGATATGAGCAATATTTACCTGGATGATTTCAAATTATAATCACCAGGATTTGGACTATCTTTCAACGTTATTAACTTATTTTTTCTATCAAAAGGTTATGTGAGATGGAAAGAAAAAGGTTAACCAAGATAGTTAAAAAAAAGACCTAGCCAGAGTACGATCTGGTACTAGAAACCATAGAGAATAAAGCCAACGATTTAAGCAGAGCATCATGATGTATTTCATATCAAAATTTCATACAATATTTTGACTTTCAGGAAGTATAGTAACTCAAAAGATAGTTCAATTATAATATTTACATCTTTCCGAAAATTTTGAAGAAATGGCATCCTGATAACCATTGCCATCAAACTTACCCAATGGCCATTGCATCATGAAAGTTTCAGGTAAGGATAACCCAAATCCATTGTGTGTGTTACAACTACACATGTCTTTGGAAATAGGCACTCAGCATGAATCAACATGTTAGCTTCCCATGAATGTCTAGATACTCATCATCTTCCACCACAGTCTGTTTCTCCACTATCAGAATACAAATAATAACCATGATTAACTAATTCTTCGTTTCCACTTGTTGGCTAGACTACTCATGACGCTACCAGGCTAGCTGTCAAGCACACCTCTTCCTTTGTATCCCATTCATACTGTTGCAAGGGTGAGGGTTGACACCCCTAGAGGCACCAGAGACCACATAATTTACTTAGAGGAAAACAATGCTTTAGATTTATTTATCCAGCACAGGCCCCTATCTTCAGCTTATCACTCTGTGATGCGGTTTTCCTCTACTATGCTTATTATGGCATCCTTAAGTAATGGTTGCTTGGCGATAGTTTCCTTCGAAATTTAATGGAGATTACATTCGAGCCTACTACATGGACAGGAAACGATTGCACATCCAAAGTCAAATGAGATTATAAGCACTCCAAGTTCATTACTTACGAATAAACTAAACTTTGCCTCACTCAAATTACTACTGATATTGCACTTATCGTACATTTGTTTCAATGTGATTCACGACCATGGAAAAAGTTCCCAGTCTTTTTTTCCAACGATCACCATCATCATCATCTTCCAATCCAGCCCCTTCAATTGGGAACATCAATCTGTCATAAAGAAAAGAATGATCTTGTCGGTACAGACATGCACAGATTCCCAATCTATACCAGCCTCTTGTAAGTCAATGGGTTATCAGAAAAGGAATGTCGGACGTGAGAAAAATTATATACAAGTTCACCTTATGATTCATACAGCTAACGAGATCACTTCAAGATGATAGAAGGACGGAAAATGTCTGAGGTTTCTTCAGAGAGGAATCTAGTACTGAGGAGGGAAAAAATCGACACTTGTATTTTCAATCATCTCAGATCCAAGGAGACGACTTACAACACTTTACAGACATTTGATTCTCCATTTTCCTTTCTTAGGAGAATAACGGAGTAGCTCGAACAAGTAAAAGAAGACAGAGAAGGAAAAATGAGAGAAAAAGAATGAACCTTGAGTAGAGTGGACTTGCCACTGCCGTTGGGACCGAGTAGCATCCACAGTTGCCCCTCTGGAACACGGAGTTCACAGTTCCTGAGGATGGGCATCACCCTGCCATTGTGTCCAGTTATGGAAAGACACAGGTCTCGCACATCGATGGCCGTAGCTGCAGCCTGTGCAGGTAAGTGTTGGCGCCGAGCATTTACCGAGAGCTCCCTGCGACGGCTGTAAACAAATGGATGAGGTTCGAGAGGAGCCGGACTGCGAGAGGTTAACCATAAGACAATGAAAACGAAATAGAATGCTTGAACTCAGGAGCGCACCGACGAATGCCACACCTCCAAGACGACGAGGACGAATGTGGTGGTGCGGCAGCAATGAAACAGTCGGACGCACGGTGGGAAACAGGAAAGCCTGTGAGCCTATGCATCGGCACACCACTGGAGCCCTCTAAATCTCAATCTCAGAAGGGAGGATGTTAGGGTCCCTTGGTTCATTACAGCCTCGATCTGTATGGTCCGTTGGTTCTTTACAGCCTTGGTCTAACCAACCAACCTCGCCAACACCGAGCGCTTCAAACCAGGATGCAGCGGAAGAGAGGCGCTTCGGATCGCCTCTGGTTAAAACACCGCCCCGCCGAGAGCCGAATCAGGGGGGGTGCTTCCTCCGACCGAGCCCGGCGGTGGCTCTGGCATAGCAGGGCTCCTGGCTGCCGAGACCGCTGCAGATTTCGTAGCGAAGACCAACAACGCGATAAGGTTGCGAACCAATAACGGCCGGTTTAATAACCAGTTATCAAAAAACAGGTTAAATAGGTTAAGCTGGATCCTCATCTTGTTCGCCTCTGCATTTGACCGCATCAGAAATAGCCTTCCCTAGCAGCAGCGGCCGAGTTCTTTTACTTTGTAATAGCGCCTCACCTGGCTTTACCGGTTAGTTATCCACCGCCATCTATCTGCCGCCGCCGTGCCGTCCTTCACCCATCGTCCACCTTCAGCCCACCGACGTCCATCATCCGCCAGCGTTCCACCGCCTTCATCCTCCACCGCTGCCACCGCCTTCACTGTCCGCTGCCTCCGCCCATTCTGCCGCCGCCGCCGCCGCCGTCTTTCCCTCCGCCCGTTCCGCCGCCGTCTTTCCCTCCGCCCGTTCCCCCGCCGCCCGAGCCCCCTTTCCGGCGATTCCCGTTCGGCTTACCGGTTAGGGCGAAATCCCCCGGTTCGTTAAACCCAATTCCACCTGGCCAAACCGGCTCGACCGCCTGGTCGGAGCTACCCGCCGCTCCGGTCCGAACCGTTCAGAACCACCTGGTCCGCACCACCGGGTACGAACCATTCCGGACCGTCTGGGCCACGCCGGTCCGTCTCACCGGGTCCAAACCACTCCAGACCGCCTGGTCCGGGCCAGCCCACCTCGCCTGGTTCCCGCCAGTCCACCAATCAACCAGCGGTCAACGGTCCATAGCTCGGTCAACAGTCAACCTCAGGTAAACTATACACAAGTGGGGTCTAGCATCAACCTATATTCCTCCATCACTTCGTCCTCTATTCCAGGGACAAGGTTATTCCCAACTCCTCTGTCTTGAGGATTTTATTTATTTAGTATATTATCTTACAATATGACTATTGTGTGAACAATAGATAGGTCCACTAATTCTCATAGCTAGTAATTAATGTAGGGGGAGAATTCACTTGATTTGCATCAAATCGATTTACTGATTCTCAAGCACCTTATCATTGATAATTTATTAATCACAATGATCTATTTTTTTCAAATCTTGCAGGAAATTACTCAATCTACCCATAGTTAACCCCCTTAAATTCTATACATCTCATGTGAGAGTCATGTCTAGGCTATTGATCTAGGATAGTTTGGTCCTTTCCTCATCCCGTTCCACTCTGTCAATTTCCCTTGCAACATGCCATTTTCTGTGGACTATTTTTCAAAGTCTATAGCATAGGTTGAAATCTAGGATAAAGAATCACCACCACTGATCCGTGACAACTCAGACTTTGCGTTCTTGTTGCCTCAGTCTTACTAAGATGAATTGATATCCACAATATACCTTGTACAAAAATTAGAACATGTCTACTTTGGTAGGAGTGTAAGATAAAGAATGTGGAATAATTGCTAATTTAATGCTCACTAATTTAATACAAGAGCTGTTTCATGCCAAAAACTCTTAAAACCCTAGAAAATTCGGTTAATCAGTCTTCTTCAGATGTAAGTAAGAAAATGTTCAAGTTTAGACTATAATGCCAGGGAAAAAAAGGTGTAGTAGTAATCAATTAGACATCCTTGTGAATAACAGTTGCTATTGAAATACGCCACATATAGTTCAGTAAGTAAACATCAGCCACATACAGTTTATATCCTGCTCTAAGAGGCTAGTATCCAATTCAGTCAGTTCCATCATAGAGTGGCGATCTTAATGTGTTCTCTGACCATTATAGCATCTACCTCAATTTATAGACCCTATTTGACCAATATTAAAACAAAAACGTAACATGGTTGTGCCGTCACTGAATTTCTTTAATCAAACCATTCAATTACACTTACAATTTGCAGTTGAGATATTATTCTACGAATAAAATGAGACATAGATATCAACAACTTGGTACATACAAGATTAGTATTTGTTTCGAATTTTTTGCATTGTAAGATGTGGAAAATTGAATTCTTGATAATTAAACTTCTTTTGTGTCTAGTAAATAGTTGATATCATCTCAATATCTTAAATAATCAAGAAATATAAAGGACCGTGCCAAAAGTTGAGACACATGTTCACTCTTATTGTGACTTTTTGAGGAGGTAAGAAAACATTGTGGAAAAAACACAGATAAGTCAAGTTTTGACAATAAATTCTAAAAGTCCCAAAAATGAAGGAGTCCGATTCAAATATTTCAAAAGAGACTCATCTAGATGAGCAAAATTACGAGTTCAATGCAAGGACTACCTTGAAGGAGTCTCATCATTTTAGATCGGCTTTCCTAGTGCCCATCTGTCAGCGATGTCCCATGGAGATTGAAACACATCCATCCATAAAGAGATATATTTTATGTTGGAGAAACTGATTTTATAGAAGCATTCCACAGCTACTCTTCTTAATCTTTCATTTGGCGCTCACCCAAAAATAATCTTTTCGCTTCCTTTTCTTGATTTATTGCCTGCTGATTAATTGTATATGTACTTGATTTATTGCCTGCTGATTAATTGTTTAAAGAATGAAGGAAATTGATTCTTTGACCAAGTGGTCATAATTTTTTCCTCAAATCTGTATGATATATGCGGATGAATGGGGTTTATCAATTATATTTTACCTAGATTTTCGTCTTGCACAGAATATCTGTGGATCAGTTCAATTCCTTGCATTATTCAATGTGGATGATTTTTTCAATGAATAGCGAATGAGTTTCGTACTTTAGTGAAAAGAACGTGCAAGGTAGGTTCCGGACTCCTGTTAATTCTTTTGGCGTGAAAAGGTGTCTGCTTTGGTGGGTGGGTGTGTTCTTCGTGGAGTGGTCGTCCCCCATTCTGCGTGGGGGGGGGTGGGCATTTTGTGTTCACCTTATTATTATTATTATTATTTTCCGATCACCTTATCTTTGTTCTCATTTGATTAGCAGGTTAGGTGAATCGCACATGGGCAGCCCTGTGAGGAGCAACAGGGGTATTGAAGAGAATACTCTGGCCATCCTTGATTCTTCTGGCATTAGGGACAGTCGCGACATTCACGATGACAGTAAGCGCCTCTACGCTGGTGTCATGTTTCCCATTTGCTTATTCCATCTATTCCCCCCCTATTCCCTTTGTGATCATACAAATTACCTCAACTAACAGGGCTCGCGTTCTTGGAGGCTGTTCGCCTTGTTTCACTCACCTCCAAGCCCTCGTCTGCTCCCACCTGGTCCCTGCTATATCTTTTTACTTCCCAGCATAGTTCTAAGAGAGGGTCGTGGATTTTGAAAATTACTTTTTTTTTTTCCTTTTACGCTAGAAAATTCCCTAGCCTTGGGGACACATAATCATTTGGAAAACATCAACTTTTTATATTCAGCTTAGACTCAATCTGTTGTTAAACGGATATACTACTCGAACAGGAACATGTACAATGCAGTTTTCCGTATCTTTAGGGATGGTACATCTTTGGAGGAGATCATGACAAGTTATCAGCTTCTTGTTGAGCTGGAAAAGGTTACTTGCTTGTTTTCTTCCTATTCACGCCATTCTGTATTCCTTGAACCGTAATTTATCATTTCCATTGTGTTCCTTGATGATACACAGCATTATCCTAGACTTTGTTTGGTGGATCAATCGAAATTTGAATCTACCTTCGGTGGAGCATGTGAACTTGTTGTGGTTAAAGAGGTAATACCAGACACCTTAATCTTCTTTTCTCTCTGGATGGTCTTATTGCCTGCATTTCTTGTTTATTACGTCGGAATTACTCACAACATTCTTTCTTTCTTTTTTTTGTTTTTTCTCCACAGACATGGTCACCTTTTGTTGGGAGTGTTGAAAGTGCCCATGCTGATGATGTTGAAACGTCTAGAAGTTCGGACAGTCTACTTGACGCACATGTTTGTCAACTCATAAAGTTTCATCTCCTCGTTTTCTTTCTTTCCTCATTTCTCTCTTTTCTTTATAAGAATAATGTGAACTGCTGGCTGCACGTATTATCATACTATTTTATCTTATTTCCTATTTCCTAGACCAATCATTTTCTCTTTTCTTGTCTCTTTGTGCATTCTTCGTTTTGTAATTTCTCTTCAACCATAGTCTTCCATACTTGTAACCTTATTTTTTCAGCCTCTTTCTCTATATGTGTTTATGTGATCCAGACAAACATTTGTTGATTGCTTCTATGTTTTTCTTTAAAAAAAGTTTTTTCTTCTTTTTGTCTTGAACTTTTGAATTTTCTAATTTGACAATTTCTACAAGACTTTGATATGGTGCTTGGCATGGAGAGGTGCCGTATCTAACAATGCCATATGCCTGGATGAGGTGATTTCTAAGGTTAATAAGCACACTTGAAGCATGCTCACGTGAATTTTCTTTTTTCTAGTTGATAACTAGATGGATTAATCGTGCTTCTTAATTGTCTCAGTTGTGTCAATGTCGAAATCAAGGCGCTATGCTTCTACATCTTTGGGCCAATCATACTGTCTCTTTGTCATGACAGCAATAGGATGGACATTGTGCATATAAAATATATAGGTTGGATGCATTTCGTCCATTTGGGAATCATTTTACATACCACATCAAGTTGGATTTTATTCAGTGGAAACTGGGAGATGTCAATAGTTGGAATTTTATGGTCCTTTGTTTTCAGATATTTCTTCAATTTATTGTCAATTAATTCAAATCATCTGAATGAAAACAACAGAGAAAGTTTTAACCAGGGCATTGAATACAAAAAATAATTAAAATTTAATCAAAATTACATTGTTTATTCTTTGAGCATGCCCACTTACTATAGCAATTGAAATAAAGACATGTTTTCATTATGTATCTATATGTGTTATGCATATTACTTTTCATTATCCAGTCATGCTACAACACTTGACATATGTCCATTTTCTACTGATCGTAGGTTTTCATATATGACATCGAATGGATAACATCAGCATGGGTACGGAACGTGTCCAAAACTTTATTTCTCTAAAAAATATCCATCTTTGAGTCCTAGGTAGCAATCCTGGTGTTAGCACTTTCTTGTCCCAGTTTTCTAAATCCTAAAGGCAGCAAAGCTGGCCGTTTCAGCTATTGGATGTTGAGTCCTATGAATCTTCCTGGCATTATGAAACAGACATTCTGAGGACTGTATAACGACTTTTGAAAGAAATTCATAACAGTAGAGAATCTAAATAGTGAACTACAGTTTTACCACATTCACTTCCAGTGAGAGCTTGATTCTCTCATTCTCTTCTTCTTGAGTAATGTGAAGAAATGCTTTTTGAAGAATGGCTCTTTGGCTCCTATACTTAATGTTCTGTAAAGAGCTTTTGTTAAAGAATTGCATTTCTGTGTGCTTGCATGGGATTAAGTTGCACTTCACCTTTTTGGTGAAGAGCTTGAGTGCCAATAGGTGTAGACATGTAGGATTGTCCAACGTACTGGAAATTATTACATTTTCTTATTATGCTCGCACCTTTCCGTGATTATAATTCTTATTCTCATATCTTGCGTGTTTAACGTGCAATTTTACTACAACATTTTATATCTATTTGACTCTTCTGGATTATTGTCACTGATTGAGGCCAACCATTGAATCTTTTCTTTCATAACTTTAAATGTTTTTCTATTTCTTTTACCTTGTATTTTTTGAAAGAAGCAAATGCTTTATTAATTTTTTGTGGGGATGAGGACATTGGTCTCGAAGTTTTATTTTGTGGCCTTTTCATTCACTTCTTCAATCACGTGATGTTTGACTGTCTGCTCTATGATGGAATAATTGATATCTTTGTGGAAAAAAAACCCTAGGGAAATCTGCTCATTAATTCAATGGAAATATTCTATTCGTCCCTTTATCAGCTTATGCAAACAGCATAATAACTGAGTTTAGCATTAGGTAAATGGCATTGACTTTGTTTGCTGAATCTAGGTAGAATTTTAATGAGTGAAAATGTGAAAATTCTCGTGTTTTAGAATTTAATAGATATAAGTTGGGACGATTTGCGTTCAACCTAGATTTTCTATAAAATCTCTTTAAAGATCTGTAGCTTCTTCATAGAGTTGACCCTTTGTCAACCGTCCTGATATAATATTGCACTGCATATTCTCTATTATATTGTGGTTTTGCCTACTGTAAGTGCAACAAATCTTTGTACGTGTATAGCATGTACATTTTTGTAAATATTTTTGACGTTCCAATTCTGGTATAGAACTCTTGTAAAAAATATAGGCCTTCTCATCCTCAGTGATGATGCCAGAGTAGCAGTTTAACTGATGAAAGTCCACCAGATACAATACAAGGCTTTATAGTGATTTGGACAAACCTGGACTTACCACACCCCTTGAGTCTTCTCTTGAGTGTTCTGGTAGTTATCTTCTCAACCTCTTAATCTATGGCTTCTCAAGATGGCAATCCAATTGTCACGCTTGTTATCATGTGACGTATTCGATGTCAACTCTTAATTATGTTCTGATTGCGTTGCAGTCGTAAGTGTGTTACTGCAAGTCTGATCTAGGGGATATTTCTCACGTATTTCAATTGTTGACCTCTGTGAGTCAAAGGTTTAATCTCAAACACACTTCAATACCAAATAAGATTGTTGAAATTTTACTGATTGTTGCCGTTTGCAATCTTATTAAGTGCTTCAGTTGTTCACCTAGAATGATAAGAGTTGAGATGTGGCAACTCCCAGCTGTGGAGTGTCAACATGCTCTGGTTTAAATTCGCCAAACCCATTAGTATAAAAAGCATTTTTAGAAGACGAAGTCGATTTGAGTTATCATAGGTTTATTTATTGTATTATATTTTTTTATTAATCCAAAAAATTCTGTTGATGTGTGTCTATGTAAATAGATTCACATGACTTTAATGAGGCATGGGATAAGGGGACTAAGGCAATTAAATGATGGGGTGAGGGCAGTATGCAGGACTGCGATTTGCTTTCTATATCTTGATTTGAAAACTCAGTGCGTTACTTATTGATCTAGAGTTTTTTTTTTTTAATATGAAAAACTGTAAAGGTCGAAAGATTGGATTCTTTCCTTTGAAATGGCTGTTTTGGCTGATCCGATCTTGTCCTGAATTAGATTAACCTGGTGAATTAAGGGTTCTAGTCTGATTTGGGGAATAAGTCTAAAGCATTTCGACAGTGGTTGGGATCCCATTACTGATGAAGGTAGCATCGTTATCCCGCATTGCTGGTGTGATAGATATGAATATGGGTGCACAACACTTTTTGTCGATCAGTGACAAGATCAATGGAATGAGGGGCCCTTATTCACATTAAAAACATACCAAAAGAAGAGGTCCTTGTGGGAACTGATCTGGAAAGGACTACATTCGGTAAAATTTTCTGAGAGAAGAGTACATGGAAGAGCAGTTTTGGAATTGTTAATTCATGATGGTTTACATTATCGTTCATGTTTCCTACCATACATTTATCGTTGGTCTTCATTGTTTCTTGTTTTAGACTACTGATAATTAGTATGACACCCCTAAATGGCATAATTCACATGCTTGCCAACGAAGGTTTTTCAAAGTCCTTACCTTGCTGTTGAAAATTTAGTCTTCAAAGTCATTGGACATAGTCGCTGGTTAATGATGGTGGGGCTTGATTATTCTGATGACATCATTATCAGGGAGGCCAATCATGTGTTGGCAATTGTACTTAAGTTTTGCTGAATGATGCTTACCCTTGCTGCAAACCTTACATGAGCTGTACTTCTTTCCTTATAAAAGTCGCTTTTCAACTTTTTTGTCTATGAAATTTGATTTAACAAATATCACTTTTTCCAGGGATTTTCCTTTTTAACACATGAGCTTGCTCAAGCCGCTAGTGCACTGGATTTCCCAATAACAAATAAGGCAGGCTACCTTTTCCTTTTATTCCCTTTTACTATCGTTTTTAATTATTTTGATCGAGATACTTCTCATAGCTAGTGAGTTACTGCACCTTTATTGTTTGAACTAAAAGATGGAGCATAATATATTTGAGTGACTTGTTTCTCATTGAGCTTTACCATTAGCCATCACATTTACTTCTTTTGGAGCAAAGTTTCTTATGACAAATAGTTCATAGAGTGAAACGTTGACAAAAATTCTTTTGCAGCTTTTGAAGAATTTGGTACTGCTCCAATACCTTGTACATGTCCTTGAGGGAGATTTTCTACCTCGGGAAACTGTGTATAAAGGTTATTCTTCTCCATCATTAGTAGGCATTAGATGAATGTAAATTTTTTATTTTTCTTTTCCTGAGGACTAAAGCATTCATGTTTCTCATATTTTGCAGCGACCATGAAATGGATTTTTCTCAGAGAATCATTGTTGAGCCTGATTCTGGTACTTCACTTGCATATATTCTAAAAGTTCATCTGTTGTTTCTGATATCGTGAGGTATTTTTGTTATCTGATTTTGCGTTAAGACCTATTCTATTTTAGCATTAGGGTTGTCAACTGGGTCAGGGCTTGTGAAGACAAGGTAGGAATTTTGGTTTTTATATGGAGCCTGCACATATCTTTCGCCTCTAGAAGATTAAAGAGTCTTTAAACTGCGGGCAATGTTTGGGCCCATGTAACCTTTTTTTTTTTGTTAGTTTATTGAGACATCATCTATCATAAAATCATGGTTAAGTAGTTAGTAGACTTTGTAATGGTCAGCCAGGGCATGGTCGGTTTTTTGTTGCCTCAACCCCGCCTAGTTCCAAAAATGGGACTTGGGTCTGAGCTCTATGAATCTCAGGCCCAGTCCCACCTGGTTTAATCATCTGTCTTATCACAATAGTTTCTTCTAGAAAGGAAAAAAGATGTGACGATTGAGCTCAGGGTCTACTAGGGTATGGTGTCCGCGGGATTCCCTCTGTGGTGGCTGAAGCTAGGGTGAGGGTTGTTATATGAAGGGAACACACATCTGTGTTGGGAGACAGGATCCTAGAGGGGAATTAGTGTCCATTCACTTCGGTACGGGGGTGGCTACACGGGGAGAAGGGATGCAATCCTGAGAAGAAGAGGGAGTCACCAAAGTAGACAAGGGTGGTCTCGTTAAAGGCAGGGGGCTGCCATGTGGCTGATGCAGCAGTCACATGAGGGGAAATTTTCCTGACCTCATGACACCCTCTGTAGCATGAAACGTTTCCAAGACCTGGCTATATTGAAGCTTTAAAGGTTTTCTTATTACTTTTTTGTGGTTAATGACAAGTATGTTGAATACTTAAAAAACATTTATGTTTACAGGGATCTCGCAAAATAAACATCAGATATTTTATTCAAGACTGTATGACCATCATATCAGGAGGATTTGTTCGTCACAAGAGTGGCCGTTTTCATGATCTGGAAAATGTGGAGACCTTTTTGCCTGGGGTAGTTGAAGAACCTGATCTTACCTTGCTGTATGCAACATTGGAGATGGGAAAAAAAACTGTCATTGCTGTCGAGAAACTTTTGATATTGGTGGGTTTTCTAAAATCTAATTTATTATTTCGTTTAGAATTACAAACATGAGAAAGTATGAATGTCATTTCTTTTTTCATTTTCAGGTTATCCGTCTTGACATGCACCGGAAAGTAGCAGACATACAAGGTTATACTTCTCGGGCTGATGCAATCAGGTTCATGGATTACTGTGCAGCTATGCTTAGTTTGTCATTTATAGAAGAAAACCCGTTGATAAGGATTAATGCCACCTGTGCAGGGTTCCACTTATGGAGATGATTGTAGATCAGTTGTCTTACAATAAAGATGTAATTTCTCCATTTTTACTGGTACGTAAGATTTATAATTATATCTTTGTATCTAACTAGAATTGATGGACATTGAATGATGCACCTTTAGGTTCTGGAAATAAGTCTGTTTTCTATGTGTAGAATGGTAGTCCTCAATTTGGTGTGCTGGAGAATTCGCAACACCTTTGGAGAGGAAGAAAAAAAATTATTGAATGAAAAACAAGAATCTGTTTACAGAACGGACGGGGTCCAGTATTTATAATAGACCCTTGAGAGTACATGATTACAAGTATTCAGGGCATATCTGCCAATATGGAAGTACAGGGTTTATTTATAAAATCCTCACAACAACACTATGGAGAGAAATTAAATCATGGTTTTAAAAACACAAAATGGGTCGAGAATGCATAAATTCGTTTTTTTGGTGCGCTGGAAGTCATCAAAATGACATGAAAAGTATAATGAGTCTGGTATAGGAGAGAAATAGACCAAAAGAAGGATGAAATCACGACAGTCTCACATTATATTCATGCAAATTAGGATATGCTGCACCATTGGAAACTTTTCAACTTAAGTAATTACGGATTTTATGCATGTTTTGGGGTGTCAACTTTGCTTTTAGGTGGACCGGATTGCAATCTTTTATTTTTTGGGGTAAGAGGGAAACTGAACCACTAGATCTGGCAGACACAAGTCTCCTTTGAGCTCCCCTGTCTGCAATGATGTTGAACATGCAAGCTCCACTTTGATGGAGAACTTTGCTACCTGAATAGTGGCACCGTTCGTTATGGGTACTTTCAGATTAGTAGAAATATAATGCATTGGTTTTTTTGAATAAAATGATTAGGATAGAATGCATTGGTTTATTTATTAGGATCTTATGTCTTTCATTACCCTGAGGTGTAATTTTAGTCATTGACCTGAGGCATGATACATGTTTGAATTTCTGGGATTCCATCATATGTTACATCTACGCTGATTGAGCAGGTTCAATATCTTGCTAGTTTGTGGAAGGGGGTTATAAGCAGACAGTTGACAGTGGGGTGGCCAATCACTCATGTTGAGTAAATTGATGCTTAGAATTCATTTCCCTTGCTTACTGTTTCCCTGGATCTTTTGCTGATATGGTTTGATATGTACTTTCTCACGAGTGTATATCTTTCCTTGATGAAATGCTGTTTTATACAACAACAAAAATTCGATGTGACGATTTAAGTATGGCACATTGCAGGCCTTTTCTGAACCGAAGTGGAAGCTTGAAATAATTATGCAATATTTTTGGAAATATTGTCACCGGGTATGTTTCCTCAGAATTTTAGTCATATGTAATAATTTTATTTTTCTTCAAGATTTTGATTGACTTGTAATATGCTCTGATTTTTTATGGGAACTTTGAGGAGGTAGTTTCAGTGTCGACAAAGGTGTTTGGCTAGCTTATGTGTCTAGGCCATAAACTATGATGAGTTTTGTTTTGATACACTAGAATCTACCAGGCTTTTGGCCGCTTGACCTACGAACTCATGCATGTCTGAGCCATTAGTCTAGCTCATAAAGTACAATGAGATGGATTTTGGTATGAGGAAAACGAAAAGAAGCAAAGAAAATAACATGAGATGCGTTTTGCATCATTAGAGGCTGCAAAGAACTTAGACATTAACAGTAAATCAAAGCCATGAAAAAACTACAACTAGAGTTGATGAAGTAGATTTTATTTCTTATGATATTTGCATGGTGGAGAAACACAAAAACACAGGCGACAGGTTGGCCTAAACCACGGTTTTTATCAAAATATCAGTTTTGGGTTGTCAGGTTAAAATAACTGATGGTAAAAGACACCAATCTCAGCTGCATTGTGGCCAAATCAGTCACGATTGACAAGGTTACAATCGAATTGAATTTTTCAGAAAAACCCTTTAACAAAGGTTGGTCAAAACTTTCTCTCGAAGCTTCAGCTACTTCAGACTTAATCTTAAGCATATGTATGACTGGCTGTCTGACGGGCCTATTATTCTTTCTTGGATATCTCCATTCAGCATAAGACTTAGAAACGTTGTTAAGTCAATTTTAAGAAAAGTTATGATCATCGCCAAAATAAGCTTTCCTCGTATTTTCTTTATGCTGTGACAAGAGTGTTGCTTCTGTTTGCTGTGCTTGTATATATATATATATATATGTTCTACTTAGTATCGGAATTGCTTCTATTTAAAGCAGCACTTTTCGTTTTCTTCTTGTCTTCATCATAATAACTTTATGTACAAGCCGTTAATATTTTTTCAACTGAGGTTCTTGTTATTCCAATCTCATGTGTCTTATTGCAGGCTCCAGTTCACACTCGAAGGTCAAAAAATTCTTCTGATGATGCTACATTTGAAACCATCCTGAAATACTTTTCGAATGGTCCAAGCACCCAAACCCTCGTAAGGAAGATGTCTTCAGAAGTGGTTCAGTTGCTTCTTGCACATGGTTTTCAGGTGACTCTTCTTGGCAATCCTCAGTTCGCTATGCTTCCAACAACATTAAGTAAAAAATTGCATTTGGTGTTTGGAGCCTAATTCATTTTATCATCGATTGAATCACTGATTGATCAGGTGTCGTCCTGAGTATGGATTGGGCCCATTTAAAGTGTAGTACACCCATTTATCTTTCCTCATATAGGATTGGCCAAACTATTTGTTAGTGCTTTCTGACCCAAGCCTGGCCTTGGCTTAGTGGGCTTCCTTGCAGCCTACCTGATGACTCTGCCTGTTTTATGGCGTAAATAGGGGAGGGTTATTTCATTTGGCAGTAAAAAGAAGAAACAACCATGACTTTAATGATGATCGGTGAACCCATGGGAATGAGTCTGCAACTAGCGTATCTAGAAATAATGGCTAACAATGGCAGCCTTAAAAAAGAGAAAATGATTGATATCCTCATTTGTTTTAAGATTTATTGAGAGCTGACCTTTTCACCTCGTGCAAAACATTAAAATCTGCTGGGAAAAACCAAAGTTTTCGTAATGCATAAAATGATTTATGCAACTTAACTGTAAATATACTCAATATTATGGGTTACTTTTCTGTCAAGAAATGAGCTTTTCAGATTTCCTTTTTTTCACAATCCTTTTTAGGGGAAGGCCCAATACCATATTTTGTTGTTAATTATGTTTGTGGTATGTTTGCAAATTATATCGAATCTCTCTCATTGGTGGAGATTAATCTTATAGCGTAAAAAAATCAATGTCAGCCCCAAAAGACTGAAGCAAGGCTAAATTGAAGTTGTCATTCATGGAAATATCTGGTTCACAGGATCCAAAAAGTGTAGAGATATAACACTTTTTGGTTCCGAATTTTTTCTGTTTTTAATAGTAATCCTAGTTTTCTTGGGTAGATGTTGCCAAAAGAACTATTGCAGAATTTATAATTGGATATTACATTTATGCAGTTAAATAGAAAACTGGGACAGCCTTTTTATTCACACTTCGGTTTGTGCAGATTTGTGTAGGCATTATCGAGGTTAAAGATGTATATGTGTGACTGAGCATGCTGAAATGATTCTCGGTGTAATAACCTGTAGTATTGTGATACCCATGTTTGTTTCTTTCACTGCCATGCTTTCAGCCTTAACCTTTCGAAAAAAACATCACCATAATGTTTGGTATCTATACACTATGAAAGGCATTCCTAGTCAAGAAAAGCACGCAAATTCACTGATGTTGATTAATGTGTTAAAACTTTGTGAAGGCATAAAGGAAAGATTTTCAGTAAAAATCACTTAATATGCAATAAAATGATTTAGAGGAGTAAGAATGTTAAATACGTTATTAATAAATGGTCTTGTGGTGCGTTGCAAATCAGTATGCTGATGAATATCTCGATTCAAATTGAGCCGGGCTAAATTGACATGTATACACAATTTGGTCACTTGGGTATGGCTTCACTTATGCGTGACATATTTTTATTATAATAAGGCAGTAAGTAGTCTACGGTGCTGCTCTCCTGAGCATTATTGGGGTACTAAACTACCTACCTGCCCTCAAGGCCCAGTCAATACAGAAAAAAAAAATGCGACTTTAGTCAGTGGAATTGTGAGACATTTTGAAGGAGGCAGAGTGGATTTTAGAGATCAGCCTGTATGAAATTTTACTGACCTGATAATTCAACGTCATCAATGAAATATACACCTGAGTCGTAACAGCTGAGCCAGGTTTCAGTTCTTGAATCTATCTCTATCAATTCGAGTGCAAGGAGACATCAGCTTACGGTTTGACTATGACTGTGGGCAGGGGAGCTCCCTGATGAGGTAGGACCAAACAATATGCTCTATTTAGCTGAAGCCGTTTGTGCTTGGTGTGACAGTAATCTGTGTATCACTTGTCATTCATCATTGTAGATCTGGTGTCTCGCCTCTCTATTTTTATTCCATCTTTAACGCACCCCTTGCATAATTTCCTTTTCAGGCATACTTATCTTCTGTATGGCACAATTCAAAACTGCTCGCCGATATTGAGGAAACCCTGAAAGACGTCCCACTTTTGCAGATTTCCAAGGGCCTGATCTGTGCGTATGAAAATATTAAGAAAAATAATGAGTAAGTTTTGCCCAAACTTGGGTTTTGTATATATATATATATATATATATATATATATTTAGCTGATCCTTTGGCTGATGGGAATCAGAGGACTAGGTGGTAATGATTAGAATTTCGGATCCTTAAGATTTGCTTAAACTCATGTCCTAGGCCTGAGTGGTACTCTGATTTGCTTGGAAAATTCCACTACATACATAGATACATAGTTACATACATAGTTACATACATACATACATACATACATAGTTACATACATACATGCATAGTAGGTAGGCACTATGAATCCACAGTCTTACAAATCAATGATAATATCGGACAATGTTATTGAGCACCTGCATTCCAGACAGTAATTTGCCAACATGTGTTAGTGATAAACTTACTGGGTAAGTAATTCTTCTTTTTTTCTTGTTACTTTTGTTCCTTATATTTCTACCAAGCTTTACTTGAATCAATCAGATTTAGCCGGAAAAAAGTATACTCGACTCTCTCTGGGATTTCTTCAAGCATTTTTGGCCCTTGACTGCTTTCAGTTTTCGGTTTAAAAAAAAGGGGAAGCTTTATGCTGTTTTGGATGTTTTGGGTATGATGAAATTGGATGAGAGTTGTAGCAGCGGCTATGCCTTGCTCTTGGAAAAGTTCTGAATGTGATGATGGCTCTTGTGCTGTGTGATTTGTGCAGTGGTATCCGTCTTTCAGCATTCGAAAAGGAAGCTTTATTTACTGCTGCAACAATTGTTGCACTGGATTCTCAATTCTAGCAGCATTCGATATATCTATGTAGAACCATATGAAGGTCGATGCCTGGCGCTGATGAGATGTTCCCGCAGCCCATCTGACCTGTAAAAGAAGAGATTTATAATTTTTTTCTTTTTTTCTGAAGGTGACAACTTCGAGACAATCTGAGGCACTCGCTCTGTAGCCTGTATTGAATCAAGCTCTCTCTCTCTCTCTCTCTCTCTCTCTCTCTCTCTCTCTCTCTCTCTCTCTCTCTCTCTCTCCATCATCGTGTAGATGCTTCATATTAAATTAAGTTAAACAGTGACCCTTCGTCAGAGAATGTCAAATCTAATGATCTCCTCTGACGCAAGCAGATGTTCTCACCTGCTGGGGTGGTTCTAAGCAGAAGAGACAGCAATGGCCTCGACCTACCCTCACCACAGACTGTTGACTAGTATACTACTCACAGATCCTTCGGAGGGTTTTTGGGTGGGTTTTTTGGAGAGATCTGCCAAATTCCTGCTCCCTAAACCGGACATTAAATTATCCGGTGATTAAGAGGCTTGTGTTTCTGCATGTATTGAATACAACAAGGTTAAGAGAGGCTTGTGTTGCTGCATGTATTGAATACAACAAGGTTAAGAGAGGCTTGTATGTACGTACTAGTTCTTCCTGGTGTTGTGTTTGATGGTATTCATGGATTGCACACAATGCAGATGAGCTGAGTCCACATCCAAAGGTCTTGCCTGAATCAATGTGATCCAACGCTTATGATACTTTTTCATTTCTCCTCAGCCCAGTTATGAATCTAATTGTTGTATATGTTCCAGTAGTATTCTTGGACAAAGTGAACAATCTTTTGTCCCATCATTGGTTGTTGCTGCAGAGGCTGGAGAGTCTGATAAGGTCCTAGCCTTACAAGAGCGTCAGACATAAGGGGAAAAGAGTTTGACGTGCAAAATAAGGATAAGAAGGGGAAGGGAAGACAGGGACTTGTCCGTAGTGGTCTGAAGGAGCACTCAATGTACCTTGGTTCATTCATGCCCTTCTCATGCCTCCCCCTTCCGGCCTTCATGCAATGGTTGGCCATAGTGGACTAGCCCACTATCTTATTGGGCCTTAGATCATGTGTCTCATTCTTATCAATACTCTCTCCTTCAACAGCCAGCTTGTCCTCAAGTTAGAATTTATAAGAATTGTGCCTTGAACTTTGTTGTTATTTCCCACAGCTTCAACCTCAAATAGGCCCTTCAATTTGACAAAGATAAGCTTGTCAAATGAGGATGTTTTGGAGGCAAGTACATGCTCTAGCTGGAGTAGTCACTCCCTCTCCTTTGTGAGGGTGCTCAGGAGTGATTGAGTGATTGATGAGTTAAAATTTGTAGTGTCGTTATGCCTACCTCTCACTCAATCAAAATTAATTTAGAGTAAAGTTTAAATACTGATTCACACAAACTTAGTCAAGGTAAGTTAGCTTGTCTCCTTAAAAAATTGTGAAAATGAGATTTATTTGTTTGCTAATTAAGGTTGATAGAAATGTTGAAGGAGAAGAACTTAGGTGTGGAAGGGGAAGAAAGATAGTTTAGGCATGAAAAGGAATTTACTAAAAGATGAATGATGCCACACAATCAAAGGGATTACATGATGCATTCTAAATGCTAATGAAGATCTATTTCCTATTTAAAAACATTAGAATCATAGATTACCTCAAAACCAACCTGATTATCACCATGCCACACCATGTCACTTGATTATTTCCACTGCTAGCTGTGGAAGAAAACTTCGTTCAGGGCAAGTAATCTAATGAGGAACGGATGACACACCTTTGATCGCAAGATGTGAAGCTTAGACCCTTCGAATCCCTTCTGGGACAACGAAAGCCTAAAGTTCTACTAAAATAAGCTAAGCTTCTAATTGTTTGAGACACAATATGTATAAGACGGAGCCCCTCTTTCTTTCCCTCACTTTTACAAACAAGATTAACACTTAAATCAATAGTTGTGCTGCTCCCTTCTTGGTGGTTAGCCCTTGGATCTTCTTGTGTACCTCTTGATAAGTAAGTCTCCCAGCCTTTGGAGTTGAATATGGTGGATCTTTCTCCATTCTTTGAGTTGCGTACTTTAATTGATTATGGGCCTTACACACATAACTTTTCATTTGAGCCCACTTTGCCCACTTCTCCTTATGTGATTATGAGCCTTAAGCTCATAGTTCTCCACTAAAGTCCTAGTGTGACCTTGGTTCCTTGAAAGCCTGTGGACTCAAGGAATTACGTCAAATAGTTAGAAGATAAAGAATTGCATCAATTTCTCGCCTGATGTATCCAATATCAACAAATATATAATTCAATAAGAAACAAATGAAATATAATACGTGTGAATGAGGATACTATCATAATCATGTGTAATATTCCTCATATAATATATTATTTATGTATTATGATATCCCCCAACTCAACTCATTGTCAGTCCCTTTGCAATGAATTATAAATGAGAACAATTCTACATTCATTTGCTTTCATGTTTCATTTTCATAAACTTGAGAATATACTTAGTTTCGAGATTAACTTCTATATTTTGTTAATGTTATGTTTTCTTGAGTGATTACGATTATGACACAACTAAATTACACCAGCTTATTTAATTTTTCTTGCCTCCCATGCAGGCCGCTTTTTTCATCGACATTATTTTTATTTACCCTAGTGTCACATGTGGAATCTCCATGAGACACCTGGGACATTTCCCTTTTTACTTATGTTTTTGGCCTTCACTCTACATGACATAACAGTAACAAAGAAGATAAATAAAATATGGGTTTGAATCTACAAAGCTCTAATCTTAAGAAAGAAACCTGCCTCTGAATCCACAGATTCAGAGTCTTCAACCTGTGAATCTATAAGGGGGTACCTGAGTCCACAAGCAAGAGGAAAAGATTCTCACAATAGAGAAAACTGATTCAACTAAAAAGTGAGGATCTGATGTAGCCCAAGACACAAGTTGAAATGTCAACTTCGAATTTAGGCCCATTTATCATGAATTTGGGCCATAAAGTGAAAAGTGCAAGAAAATGAGCTCACATATGTCACTAGTGAGCTGGAGGTCTGCATTTGGGCCCACTTTATGTCATTTTACTTCTCGAATGTATTTTATGTCTCATTCCTTCTAGAAGAGACTTTAATGTGGTACAGTTTGTACCTAAGATCTCTTTAGGATCTTTGACTATTAGAGTCTATACCTAAGATCTGCTCAAGATCTCTGACTGTCAGAATCTGATTTAGGTCATTTCAGAGTTAGTCATAGTATTTTTAAAGGATCTGTCTAAGATCTCAATCTGTCAGAGTTTGTCTAATGTAGACAAGCCCACACCCTCATCTATATTGAATTGGTTGGATCAAGAATGAACTAGAAACTAAAGTTTCAGAGACCTATCTAATCAAAATTTCAATTCGTAAGACTTATTATGATGACGTGTAATATAAGGTTGTTGACATGCATACTTGTCACATGATATTAGTCAGATCATGGCAGTTTGGTGTTGACGTTACACACTGTGGTAAGGATTAATTATCAAGTTATATGCAAACTCCACTTGTGCCAAAGCATAATCCTATTAATTTAGTTTTTCTCCAGAAATATAATGAATTAATATGCCTAGAGTTTTATTCACAACTTCAGTTTGGCCATCAGTTTGTGGGTGACTAGTACTACTGAATTTCAAAAATGTGTCAAACCTCTTCTAAAGAGTTCGCTAGAAAGGACTACTTGACTTGCATCATTTATCTTTTTACATGCAATGAAGTTTACTATTTTTGAAAATCTATCAACAACCACAAAAACTAAGTCAGCTACTCTCTATGTTCGCAACAGACCTAATATAAAATTCAATAAAATATCAGCCCATGGATATTGTGGAATAAGCAATGGAGTGTATAGTCCAGTATTTTGACTTTCTTTCTTGTAGGTTTGACAAACCTAATATTTATAAATAAGTCAACTTGTTTAGATGGTTTGCCTTGTTTACACAGATAATATTCAAAAAAATCTTCATCTCTTGCATAGAGTTCTGTCAATATTCAAAACCATTAACTTCTCCTCTCATCGTAATCAGAAATACTGATTTTTGACTTAGTGCATCAACCACTTTGTTTCATTTTTCTAATTTGTGCTTTATCATAAAAGAAAACTTTTAAATAAATGAAATCCATCTAACATACATTCTGTTGATAGTGGTCTGACTATTGACTGATTTCAAAGTTTGATCGTCAATAAATAAAATAAATTTTCATTGAATCAAGTAGTATTCCCAAATATTGACACAATAGTAACACGGAAGATAAACAAGATATGGGCTTAAATCCACAAAGCTCCAATCTTGGGGAAGGAGAGGTTGACTGCAATATTGACTGCATTTAAATTCACAGATTCAGAGTCTTCAACCCTTAAATCCACAAGGGGGTGCCTGAATCCACAAGCAAGAAGGAGAGGTTCTCACAGCAAGAAGTGAGTACCACATGTTACAATGAGGGCCTTTATATAGGCTTAGAAAAGAGGTTGGGCGCCCCCAAAAAAAGGATCCTGACAGATCTTAGGGACAGAGTTTGACTAACTCTGAAATGATTTAAAGTAGACTCTAACAGACTGAGATCTTAGATAAATCTTTTTAAAAAACTCTGACATGACTTAAAGCAGACTCTGACAGTGAGAGACCCTGAGCAGATCTTAGATACAGAATCTAACAATTAGAAATCCTGAATAGATCTTAGATACAGACTGAATCACATTAAAGTCTCTTCTAAAAGGAATGAGACATAAAGTACCTTCTAGAAGTGAGAGGACATAAAGTGGGCCAAAATTCAAACCTCCAGCTTATTGGTGACATATGTGGGCTCATTTTCTTGCAACTTTCACTTTATTACCCAAATTCAAGATAAGTGAGCCTAAATTAAAAGTTGACACTTCAACTTGTATCTTCGGCTACATCAATATTTCCTCCTTCAAGAAAAGTCATCATCGAGTCTTCATTTGAATCATTGTAGTACTCATATATATCACTAATATTGAATGTGGGTGAAATACTCATATTTGGTAAGAGCTCAATGAGGTATGCATTGTCATTGATCTTCTGTAGAACTTGATATGATCTATATTTCTTCAGCTTCAACTTATTTTACCTACCTGCTGGAAATCATTCTTTACAAAGGTACACCATCACTCTGTCTCCAACTTCAAATATCTTCTTTTCTTATCTGCTGCTGCTTTATATTTTCTAAGAATTAATTGTGAGATTGTGTATCACACTTTTTAAGTGTTTTGATATGATCTATCACATTATTTACAGCACTATTAGTTCCAACTGATCTTGGTACTTGTAATAAATTTAATATAATTCTTGGACGAAAATAATATACCACTGAAAAAAGAGATTGATTAGTCGAATGATTAATCATCGAATTATATGTAAATTTTGTTTGTGCCAAAGCATAATCTCATTGTTTTAGCTTTTCTCCTGAAATACAATGAATCAAATTGCCCAGAGTTCTATTTAGAACTTCAGTTTGGTCATCAATTTGTGGGTGAGTAGTAGTCCTGAATTTCAGAAATGTGTCAAACCTCTTCCAAAAAGATTGTCAAAAGTGAGATATAAACCTAGAATCTCTATCAGAGTTAATTGACTAAGGAATTCTATGTAGACAAGCAGTTTCTTTAAAAAAGTGATTGACTACTTGACTTGCATCACTTGTTTTCTTATATATAATAAAGTGTGCCACAAAATCTATCAACAGCCACAAAAATAGACTCAGCTCCTCTGTGGTCGTGGCGGACTTAATATAAAATCTATTGAATTATCAACCCATAGACGTTGTGAAATAGGCATTGGACTGTAGCAATCCCTTATAGGTTTGACAAACCTGACATTTACAAACAAAGTTTTCTACATCTTTCTTTAGTTTAGGTAGTAATATCACTCTTCAACTAACTGTAAAGTATTGTCTCGAAATAAAAAACCATTTTGTAGGTGAAAACTTTTAGTTGATATTCCTGACATAGAGATCATATATTATTTAGAAAAATCATCGTCGTCTGGGTATAATTCTTTAAGATAATCAAATACTGTGATTTTAGCATGCAGGTTCAGCAAACATATTGATTTTCTACTAAGAGCATCTGCAACTCGATTCAGTTTTTCTGACAACTGTTTAATAACAAAAGTAAAATGTGGAATGAAAGAGATTCATCTGGCATGCATTCTATTCATCGAAGTCTGATTATTTACTGATTTCATAGCCTAATGATCACTATATAAAATAAACTCTCGTTGAATCAAATAGTGTTCCCATGTTTATAAAGTGTAGACGTAGTTCATATGTTGTCTATTTTTTCTTACCTCAGAAAATTTTTCACTAAAAAATGTTATTGTCCGATCTTCTTGCGACAGTACACTTCTAATGCAAACTATGAATGTATCGCATTCCACTTCAAACAGTTTATCAATGTTTGGCAAGACTAAAACAGGAGTAGAACATAATTTCTCTTTAGTCATGAAAAAACTTTATTGAGCCAAAATTTTGAATGAATCTTCTATAAAATGATGCCAACACATGAAAACTTCGAACCTGGTGAAAACTTAAAGTTAATGTATAATTGATTATGTTGTAACACCTTGAATACTGATCTGAGATGTTTCATTTGTTCATCTTCAGTAGTACTGTAAATAAGAATGTCATCAAGATAAAGGGCCACAAATTTACCAATAAAAGGTTTCAGAATTCTATTCATCACTCTCAAAAGGATACTAGGGACATTTGATAAGCCAAATGGGATGACTAACCATTCATAAAGAACCGCCTTAGTTTTAAAGGCAGTCTTTCATTCATTTTGTGACCGAATTAAGAACCACAAAGTATATCTAACATGACATCTAGGTGTGGAATTGAGAATCTATACTTAATTGCTATCTTGTTAGAAGCTCTACTATCGACACATATCTGCTAACTTCTATCTTTCTTTGGAACAAGTAAAACAAGCACAAAATATAGGCTCATACTTTCTCTTATCAATCCTTTACTTAATAACTCCTAGAATGTGGAGTTATCCTAGAATGTGAAAGCTTAGGCAGGCTTGCTACTTGTATAAGGTCAATATGATATTATGCATCACACATTGATAGAAGTTGAGAAGATAGTTCTTGAATTACATAAAATTCAGATAAGAAACTTTTAACAGCTTTTGGTATCACATCAGCTATTTTGATATCTGAATCAAGTTTTTGAACAATAACAAATAATTGAGTATTAATATCAAACTTTTTAAGAAACTTTGTCTAGTTGATGAGCATTACTTTTCTTTTCTCCTTCTCTCCTTTGCTAAAATCACTATCTTGAATTGGAGCCAAAACAATTTTTTTATCTTGTCTGCCGTGAAAATAACGTGGAAGATACACAAGATATGGGCTTGAATCCACAAATCTCTAATCTTGGGGAAGAAACCAACCTCTTAATCCAAAGATTTAGAGTCTTCAACCCTTGAATCCACAAGAGAGTGCCTGAATCCACAAGCAAGAGGGAGAGGTTCTCACAGTGGAGAAAACTGATTCAACTAAAAAGGTATATTCCTCTAGTTACAATGGGGACCTTCATATAAGCCCAAAAAGGAGGTTGGGAGGTTGGGCATTCCCCAAAAAGAGGATTCTAATAGATCTTAGGGACAAACTGAAATGACTTAAAATAGACTCTGACAGACTATGTTAGCAAAATCTTCTAAAAATACTCTGACATGACCTAAAGCAGACTCTGACAGTGAGAGACCTAAAAATACTGTGTTCCTTTTTTTGGGGATTTGGCATCTTGGGCCTCAACAGTGCCCATCCACCCTTATATTAAGGTGGAGAGCCACCCCCAAGGGCCATGTTTAGGAGAAAGTGTGTTTCATTGAGAATCTCATTCCAAGGGGGCAAAGAGGAAGGGGATCACCTCCAGCTCACTGCCGCTGCTTCCAAGGCCGTCAGCAGCCATGTGAGCCGCCACTAGGATGCCGGCATTGCTACCAGGCTATCAACACAACCGTGTGTCCGCTAGTGTGCCAACCCCATGTGCCCGCTAGCTGCACAAACCCGCCGTGCGCCGAACTGTGCGTTTGTCTCACAACTGTTACAGAATCTCAGCGTGCACGCTGCTTGCCTGGCCGCGTGCTACCGTGCTTACCCCTCGGAGCTCGTCATTACACCTGACCCTTGGACGCCTAACTGAGCGCCCCAGCAACTTCGTTTTTCCCCTTCCTCCGACCCTGTCCATGCCCTGCTGATATCCAGCACTGGAACGCCTGTTCATGGTGTCAGCAGACGCCTTGTCGCACGCCGACTGGACCTCTGCCTTGAAGGTCACCTCTTATCCCCTATCATCTTGCACTTGCTCAACTGCCGTCAGACCTAGCTAGGTTAGAATAGGTCAGCTGTTCGCACCAACTCTGATGTGCATGCCTGATTTCTAATGTTGGTCGTTGAGCACTTGCAGTGGAGTTGCGCCAGCACCATTAGGTCCTCACCCTCCGGACGTGGACTTGGAGGATTACCCTGCATCTCAGCCCCCTGGCGACACCTAGTCGTGATGGAACGTCGGCGTCATGGTATTTCGGCCACTGCTTGCACATAGTTGAGTTTGGCGCTCATCATCTAGAGTCTCTGGTTAGCATTACTCGTGGCATATAGGGTTCCCTATCCTTGTCCTACATCAATTTGAGTATTATATCCTCTTTTTGGAAATAAGAAGTTAGGTATGATTGAAGTAGTCTTTGGTGTTATCAGATCTAAACCTCTAAATTATTGTCTCAAACGGAGTTTTTATTAAAGAACAGAATTGTATGTGTGTCATACTTACGTCATATTTGCTTTTAAGTACACAAATCCACATCATCCTTGTACAGTCATCAATAAAGAAGATAAACCAATTAGATCCACTTGTGCTATGTGTTGATTCAAATCTTTATACATCACTATGATCATGGCAAAAAAGTATTGAACACTTCATATTATTCTTGACACAAAATTCTTGATGCAAAAGTATTTTTTAATGTTTGGTAATTCACATAGTTCACACTTGAATTTAGAGGAAATTAAGTTGTGAAAAAAAAAAAGGAAACAAACCCTTCAGAATAATTTTGTTTTTTACTATTTGACATGTCAAGGTTCTTGAGAATATTATGTTGATCAACTGCAGTATTTGGTTGGCTTGGAAGCTCTAGATAATAGAGTACACTCCATTTTCGAACATGTCCAATCATCCTCTCATACGTCTTGTAAAAAATTAGACAAGTATTAAGATCAAACACAATATTACCTAAGTCTCATGTGAGTTTACTAACATAAACTAGGTTAGTGGTCAACATATGAACATAAAGTACATTTTTCAAGATAATATAAGGTGATAGGCAATTGTTTCCTGTTCGAACAATTGTAATTGAGGAGCCAATAGTTATGTTAATTTTCTATTATTTGGACAAAGAGCATACGACTTAAATAGATGAGAGGCATAGGTCATATGTTATGGGGCCCTTGTATTAATGATCTAGGGTGAAGATTTACTGTTTGTTCAGGCACTCAATTCAAGAAAATTGAAGACTTACATGAACACTTAGGTGAACTTGGGGTTGTCTTCTAAGAAACAGTCCTTCTGCCTTCTCACCGTACCTCCTTTCGTAGAACCCCAACCGCTAAGTGCTCACAGTAGCATGCTCCTGGTATACCCCAATATTCATGACCTAAAAGAAGGAGAGAATCGGGTAACACGAAAACGACGGCTTAAGGAACTGAGCTTTTTCCCATGATTGAGAGGAAGAAGATTGTACCACACTCTCCTATCCTCTGGTCTTCTTGAATTTGAATTTTTCCTCAGGGAGAAGAAGAAAATTTCGCCGTTATGGGTTGTACTTGCTGGGTTGGAGTGGCCCACGTTTGTCATGAAGATGTGTGGGGTTTTTCATGTCTGCAAATTAGTTTTAGAAAGAGAATCTTATGACAGCGGTTCTATTCCTCTACACCGGTCACCATGAGGGGATCTTAAAATCCGATCTGCCATTAGGGGTTATGATGTAGGGTGCCTACGACGGACACAGAGTGAGGAGAAAATTATGATGGTGTAGCCCTGTACCTCGGTCTTACAACCACCAAGATAAGTAACGCTTTAAATTATAGATCCCGGCAGAATAAGGCGCAAATCTATTACCAAAGAGTGAGGACGTTCAGCGCTGAGACAGCGCCAGGGGCAGTGCGGTGAGCCTCGAGTTGTCGTGGGACAGTGAACGATGGAAACTGGCAACCCTGTTGATTAGTGTTCAGTCTTGGACTGGGCTCTTTGGGCGTGGCAATGGCTTCATAGAGGATTTTCCGGTTCCCGTGGCGAAATGTGCAGCTGCTGGAATCGTCGTGTGAGATGGCAATGGGCAATCGTCGCGCGAGAACAGTCACGCCTGCGTCAGCAGAGAGCGCGTGGCTGCGTCGGCTGCTGATGACCTCTAAGCGGGGCCTTACTACAGGTCAAATCCCGTCGACGTGAGTGTTGTCATCTACCACCAACAGTAGGCAACAATGCGCTAGATGGTGGACAGTGCAATCGGCGGCAAGAGAAACTGGATGTTTGCTCTCAAATGGTGCTTTACGGGTGGTTGGCAGGGGGAGGGTCGCCTCTCAGCAGTTGCGGTTGTTACGATTGTGACAGTGGGGGCGGCTGAGAGGAAACCTTGGGCAAATTCTGAAAATGATGCCTATCGCCAAAATTCACCACAAAATCGTCTCTTACAGCGCCAATCCTAATTATAGGGTCAAGAATTCGTGAAAGGAAATTAAACGAAAGGAAAATCCAAATAATAAATAAATTCGGATCTTGGATCCTAGGTTGACGATGTCGACGTGGCATGACTCCTGTGCTGGTCTTCCCCTCCTGTGGCAGCACCATCCCTTCAAATGGTGGGGCTGGGACAGTCGCCACACCAGGTGATCATAAGGTAGGTCATCCTCTCTTCTTATCTGTCAACACACCTTTCATGGGTCGACTTGGTTCAAAAACTTAAAAGTTGGCATCCAATAGTTGTAAGTGTTCTTCTTTGTCATGAGTCTGCACAGAGGTGCTCTGGGAATGGGATCGGATTCGTGGAGATCTATTCAGGGAAAGAGGACAGCACGCTAATAGTTGTAAGATATCTATCACCCACACATTCTTTTCAGCTCTCTGTTTCTGCATCAAACAGAATGGTCTCTATCTCATCAGGTTCTCTGTTTTTCTCATCTCGAAAGAGGACACGCTCATTCCAAACAGACTTGCAATGCTTGCTGGAGGTTGTCAAGACTTGCAGCTCCTGAGAATATTGCTGAGCCATTATGAGGAGAGAAGACACTGTCCTTCCCCCATTCGTCACTGAACTTCTGAGCTGAATTGTCTGAGAGAGGGTGCAATGCTTGCTCATTTGCCTCCTTTTCGTGCACTTTGATCTAAGCTGACTCTCACTCTTTCTTTAGGCAGCAGCGCACGAGAAGCTCGTTCAGTCTAATACTATTGAGTGCGAGACGGACAGTCGATGTAAGTCTTTTGCTGATCTGGATGACCTTCTGTGCTCTTGCTATCTCTGACCGCCAGGCATACAAAAAGCAGCATCGCCTTCAACGCTGACATTTATTCCCTCATGGTCATACGTTATTCCTATCTGCCCTAGGAGGAGGTCATACTTGATGATTGATCGGGGGCGCTTCATGAAGCGGCGGACTTGGTCTTGTGGTGCAGCCATCTTCTGCAAGGAATGCAACCTCTGAGCGACGGGGGGAGACAAGATGTAAGCTCCGGGAAGACTGAGGAGATGGTCTGGATGCTCTTGAGGCCGAGGAACTATGTGCCCTTCAGAACCTGCACCATCGTAGAAACTTGATGTATCTGCCAGGTAATTTCAGGGAGAAGACGGATGCTTTCTGGCACCACCGAGCAACCCAGCAGCTTCTCTGACGTCTCAATGTGATTTTGTGTCTGGCAGATGACTACACCGAGGGCGAAGACGTTGGGCTGCTGAGCAGCAGGCACGACTTCCATGCTGGCTGCGTTGGGAGATGCCTGACGGAAAAGAATGTGTCCCTGATCTGCGGGAACGCAGCCTTCCCGCCCACTGTATGAAGACCCCCAATCTCCTTCAACCTTACATGGCCCACTTGTAATTAGCTTCCATATATTTGGGGATTACATGATTCAAGTCACCGTGTCTAGTTAGTAGCCCTAATAATTGGCTTATCTACTATGCAAAGCTTTCATATTCTTGGCCGAAAATATGTTAATATTGTGATAAGCATAGAGTAGAAGGTTGTGAGGATTTAAGCTGCAACCAAATATGTCAATTCTCAGCAGTGTTTTAGGGACATTTACGATGTTTGGTGCTATTGAGATATCACAACAAGGGTGGTGAGGTGTTGACTTATTAGAAAGCCATTTAGAGATGTGGTATGACTGACTCTTCCCTATAAAATGGAGGGTCCTACTAGCATGTTATTCACATTTTAAGTGAGGAATAGGTTGTTCTATCCTTTAATAGTTTTCCTAGTAAGATTCCACTAAAACCTAGGAAATGTTTGTCTAAGTTTAAGGAATAATTCCTCTCCAAAAATAATATTTAGATGGTGGAAAATGGCCACGATCTAGGAAACGGTGATTATAATTACATGCTCTTTTCTTCCTGTGAGAGGGATAAACTCCATGAGTTTTAGTTGGAGTATATGATACACCTTGAGGAAGGCCGAGAAAGTGTTCCACTTGACACTTAAGCAAAGCATATCGCTAATTGAACCTTGGGATACTAGATAGAAAGAGACAAAAATCTCATTGTCAAGGTGAATGTACACATAGTTTGTCTGGCGCTCCTTTGTATAGAAAGTCTATTATTCAGTGGTTGATACATGCACATTATTGTTATCAAGAAACAGTAGTTAGTGCATACTGATGAGTTAAGATTTGTAGTGTCATTATGTCTGCGCCTAACTGAATGAAAGTTAATCCAGAGTAAATATTTAATACTGATTCAAGCAAACTTAGTAGCCTGGGTAAGTCAAGTTGTTTCCTTCCGGAATTGTTGATTGATATTTATTTATTTGCTGATTAAGGTTGGTAAGAATCACCGAGATATCATAAAGAAGAAGAAATTTAATGCAATAAGAGAAGAGAAAGTTTAGGTATCAAAACGAATTTATTCATATGTGAATGATGCCACACAATCAAAGTAATTGAATAACTCAATCTAACATTAATCAAGATCTAATTTTTATCTAATGATATCCAAATCACAGATTACCTTGAAGCCAACCTAGTTGTCACTTTGGAGGCATCCATTGGGGTCCATAGGAGAGAACCTTGTTCAGGGTGAGAAGTTAGAAGATTATTTGACAATGACCTTTAACTGCAAGATGTGGAACTTGGGACCTTTCGAACCCTTTTAGCTCAACGAAAGCCTAAAGTTCCATTGAGAAAGGTTTTCATTGTTTGATACATAATATATATAGGACAATTCTCCTTTTTCTCTTCCTCACTTTAGCAAATAAAAATATTTCTTAAATCAATAGTTATGCAGCTCCCTTCGTATGTGGTTACCCAGAGATCTTCTCATGTACCTCTTGATAAGTCTTTTGACTGCTAGATCTAATCTACTTTTGTCTAGAAATCATGAGATTTTATGCAATACACCTTACATACAACCTTTTTTTAAAACATACATAGCTTAGCTTTTTGCAACTACATGTAGGGTGAGATTACTGGGAATGTGCATGTAGTTGCATGACTGATGGCACACTTAAATAAAAATACAAGACAGTAATGTAACATGGGCTGTAGATGAACCTCAAGTGTTAATGTACTCCAACTATTTAGAGAGAACGTGTAATTCCTCTAAACATTCAGTTCCCTATTGCACGGTTTAATCCTTTGTGTCCTTGGTTAAATAATCTTTGTATATCTTGGTATAAAAGGTGGATTTTGACCTTTGAGCACGGCAAAATTAGTTAGCCTTTCAAGAAAAAGAAATTGTCTAGATGTCTGGAGGTGGGTAATGACACAGTAGTAATGTAAAAGATAATTAAATATAAGCTTGAATCCAATAAACTCAAATCTCTGAATTCAAAGATTCAGAGTCTTCAACCCTTGAATCCACAAGAGAGTTCCTTAATTCACAAGCAAGAGGGAGAGGTTCTCACAGTAGAGAAAACGGATTCAACTAAAAAGGTTTATTCCTTTGGTTATAATGGGGACCTTCATATCAGCCTAAAAGGAGGTACAGCATTACCCAAAAAGAAGATTCTAATAGATCTTAGGGACAGAGTCTGACTAAGTCTGAAATGACTTAAAATAGACTCTGATAGAATTAGATCTTAGCCAAAATTTTTAAATATACTCTGACAAAACCCAAAGAAAACTCTGGCCGTGAGAAGATCTAAATATACTATGACAGTCAGAGATTCTGAACAGATCCTAGATACAGACTGAACCACATTCAATTCTCTTATAATAGGAATGAAAGATAAATTACCTTGTAAAAATGAAAGGACAAAAAGTCAGCTAAAATTCGAACCTACAGCCCACCGGTGACATATGTGGGCTCTTTTTCTTTTACTTTTCACTTTTTGGCCCAAATTCGAAGTTGACACTTCAACTTATGTCTTGGTCTACAGCAGACAGTGAGGTCCCAACAGCTACATTTAGCTATCAGATTTGTGCCCTTTTTTTCATATCCACCTGTTGCGGCGGGATACAGAACGAATTCGGCTTTTAGTAGATCCTCCCGCCTCAGTCTCTCTTGCCAAGTTCCTTTCTTTCGCTCTCTCTCTCTCTCTTTCTCTTTCTCTCTCGGTCTCTGCCCGCTCTGTGGCAGTCCCAGCAGCATCCCCTTGTTTCTTCTCTTTCATTCTTCTTGTGGTTCCGGTGAAGGATTGTTCTGGTTTTCCTTTTCCGACTCCCAAGAAGCGAGTGACAGAGCATGGTGGTGAATGGCAGGTTGACAACAGAGGAGTTTCCGAGCCACCTGCTCGCATG